AGTAAACTCAGTCGGACATCCAAACATAATGAAACCTGCTCTAGTTGCAGCACATGTTACACCCGTCCTTAAAGTATTAAATAAGTCAACAAAACCTGTTGGTGGTATATCTGAGTAAGTATCTTCAAAGGAGTATTTTTTACCATTCACAACAATAAAATCTTCTGGTGTCAAAAGAGCAAAACAGGCTTTAGTCGTCATTGTGTTTAAGGTTAGTTTACAATATCGTCCTTGAGGACTTTGTAAGTTTGTTGTTATAGAATTATATGACTCAGGGTTTTTAGTCGTAATAGTATAAACCACTATGTCTTCTGCCATTTACATATATTTAAAAGTTTTTCTGAAAGTGGAGAAGAACTTCATCTAAACTTTCACATGGCGTTTCTTGAAGTTCTCTGTCTAAGAAGTTCAAATATTTTGTAAAGACATAGAACTTTCCTTTGTCTACACGAACAAACAAAACAGGGTCTTTCATATCGTTCAAAAGTGTGTAAAGTCCTTTACATGAAATAAAGTCTATATTTTTTCTTCAAACATCTTTCAAGAAGTTTTGACATTTTTACTTAGCAAGTAAATTTTAATGAAATGTTGTGGTCGTCAATATTTTTATAACGTCTGGGAAACTATATTTTAAGTTCAACGTTTCACCTCCTTTCATAACGTATATCTTGTCAATGACATTATATGAAACACCACAGCAAGCAATGTCGGGTTCTATTTCTTTGATGTTTATATCGTCTGCCTCTGTCAAAAGTTTCAATAGTTCTTTCAAAACTTCATGAGGTGCAATGACATATGAGTTCACTTTTACAGGGTTGTGTTCGACCAAGTTTAACATATACCTAAAGCTTGACAAATCTTCTCCTGAGTTTTAAGTTTGTCTTTCAGTTGTTGGTAGTCGTTTCGAATATCTGCAACAGAACTTAAGTCTCTGCTAACTTCAGGATATGTTGGTTGTTCTTTTACAGGAACTATTGTTATACCATCTTCGTCTTCGTATGGTTTCCCCATTTCAACATCTCTGTCTTTGACATTGACAATAACACTTTGACTGTTTGTTTGAGTTGGTGATTTAACTTCACATCTGCCACCGCCATTAAACCTTTTGAAACACTTACGCTTCTATTTTTCGGCAATGACATTTTACTTAGAATAAAAATATGGACGCATTCGAGTATCTCTTCGAATTGAAGCAAAACAAAGTTTACACACACAAACAATACAAGTTCATTGACAGAATAGTTCTTTACACAAACAATGGAAAATGTTATAGAATAGCAGTCTTTGCTGAACCAAAATATTTTCATAAAGCAAAGAAAGTTGGTATAACTGAAATGGTGAAAGTTCTTGACGTTGACAAAAATATAACAACAAAACTGACCGATATTTCTAAAGGTAAGTTTATAATACAATATTATGTCAAAACTGGCGTACTGTCAATATTTGACGGAGAGAAGTCAGTTCAAGAACAACTTACTGACCTGCTGCCAAAATCTGCTCGATGGAAGCTGTCGTTATGCCAATCTGTGGAGCCCCAGCAGGTTTCATCGAACGAATCTTCAAAAGAGCATCTTCCGTGAAAAGTGCTATTGGTTTTGTAAACTTCTTTGCTTTCAATTCATCTGGACCGTCTCTGTCACCAGTATATTGTATTTGAACTGTACCAACAGTTGAAATACCACCCATAAAGTCTTCTGAGTCAGCAAATGGAATGCCAAGCCAAAAGTTTGAACGGTCTCCATTTGTATATTGAGTTTTTTGACCTCCTGTATGAGTCCATACTTTCACATATGGCATAATAGAACTTTGCATTTCAGGGTTAATGGTTGTTGTGAAGTTGTTGTTAAAGTTCATAGCATCTAATGTCAAGTTGTATGACCTCATATCTTCAACTGTAGAATATTCTTCTCTTGGATAATATTTGCCATCTATGTTTATATGATATTTAATACCAGGGTTGTAGAAACAAGAATAGTCATTTATAGTTCGTCTGAACAGTACAAACATAGTATCTGCATGTTTCATTGCAGTTGTTAAAGCAATATCTGTTCTTGCACCTGGGTCAGCACTTTGGTTTCCAACTTCACCTGCAAAGTCTTTGACAGATATTTGGTGTATAGGGAACATAAGTGGAACTGCAATATATTTGGCAGCTAAAGCATTTGAAATATCTGGGTCCAACATATAGACTGCAAGTCTGCTTTCTATTCTCTTGCATTCAAATTTTTCGCATGTGAACTTAACTGGGTCCCAAGCAGTTCCAGCAGCATTGAAATAATAGTTTACTTCAGTGTTGAGGTTTGAGAAACCAAAGTCTAAGTCAACTTTGTCTTTGCAAAATTCGGCGAATGACGTTTGATTTGTTCCCTTTACGTCTGTAAGAGTGAATGGGTCTTGTGTTGGTGCAATGACTAAGTTATTTTTGCTTGGAGTAAGTTCGATAGAAATTTTTCCTGCCCAGTTTGGCAAGTATCTTAAAAACCTGAAGATAAGGAAAGATGACAAAGGAACTCTAAGTTTCAGTTTTACTTTGGTTACTGCTGCTGCAGTTTGTCCAGAAAGGTTAACATAAACTCCTGGAACGTTAGGGTCAAGTCTTCTTATTTTCTCAATATTTGCATACTGGTCTGTTTGTTCTCTAGCTTGTGGTTGTACTGAGTTTCTCAAAGCGAACCATTCATAGTTTGCCCATGTTACTGTTTGAACTAAGTCAGAGTTAGAATATATCTTATATCCCATGAAAACTTCTGGAGCATATTGGTATCCGACATAGAAAATTCCATTGCAACCTTTCTTGTCAGACAACTTGGCAGAAGGTTTTATTTCAATGTCTTGTTCCACGTATAAGAATGAGTTGTCAATAGAAATAATATGAAACCTGTCGCAAGCAATATCTACTGTTGTTGAAGAACCTTCTCCAAACTCACCTACGTTTCCATAAGAAACAGCAGTTGTATATTCGTAAGTTCCAGGAACTATTTCTGACCTTCTAATGGCATTGTCGCATTCGTTATACATTCGGAAACATTTCCATTCATGGCATCCAAAACTGTTGGCGTTATATTCTGAGCGGCGTACATTTCATATGGGTAAAAATATAGAATAGTTGGATTTATGTGTCATATATAGAACCCACGTGGACCAAGCTTTACTTTCTTCCTGACTGAGTTTTTAACTCTTCTTTTTCCCTTCATTGCCACTACTTTCACTAGATGAAGTTACTTCTTCACTACTTTCACTTTGTTCTACTCTTCTCTTCTTCTTTGGTGTCGCTTTGGTAACTTGCCCCTCCTCTGCTTTCAAGTTGTTGCATCTTTGGCCTCATGTTCACTAGTATGTTTAAATTTCCCATGTCCTTTTTGCCTTTGGCTCTGGTCGCCCATCTCAGGTAACCTATATCCTAGAAAGAGTTTTGTCATAGTTTGTATTTGAGTCTTCGCGTATTGTTTGCATGACTCTTTCCTGAGTTTCCGGTTCAAGCTCTTCAAACAGAGCTTGTCCATATGGAATAAGCTCGTTTTCCAAATATATGTTTTTGTAGCCATTCTGGTTTTCTTTCCATGTTACCAATAATATCTTTTGTGAATGGGAAAGCTTTTACCCAATCTTTTCAGTCTTGCGTCATTTATTTCTGTAGTTGGTTTTATTTTGTCAAGGAACATGTTTTTCAATACTAACATTTCATTTGGTACTGTCCATTTGAGTTTTCTTAAATATTCATCCCTTCTCAAGTTCATTGTCTGCAAAGTAAGTTTTTTGAACATTTTTGTAAACTTTCGTTTGCAAGGTCATGTACATAGGTTCTCTTCCTTCTCTCTCCCTAACTTTCTTTCTAAACTCTTCACCAAAATACCATCTTTATGGTTCTGTGTAGTTCTTTGAGATAAATGTTCTAGAACGTCAGGTGTTATATTTCCATCAGCCATGTTCATTTCATACTGGTCCAAAATATCTGCATGTTTCATATCTTTCAATGGCATTAAAGCCGCGCTTAAAATACCAGCTATATCTGGTTCACATTCACTTCCATTGCGTCTACAACTTCTTGGAATTGTGGTTGTAAGTTTATGAACCACCTATCCGGATTAGCTTTTATGACCCCATCTCATTGTAGTTCCATAGTCTGCAGAAACAAAAGTAGGTTTGTTTCCATCTTGGTTAGGTTCTGAATGAACTTTAAACAATGTTTCATTTTCTATATGTTTTTTGAAATTTAACCTTTTATTTTCACCGAGTTCACCAAAGATTGAACGTTATATGCTCGTAAGTAAAAAAGGGTTGTTGTATTTGCGTACATTTTCTTTCAGTACTTCCATTCTATATGCTGAATATTTTCATCTGGTGTTGGAGTCTTTTGTATGTCGGCAAACATTTTTCGATATTCTTCTACTATGTCAGCCGAATTTTTTTTAGACTCTTGGAAAGATTCCATATTCTCCGCATACACTTGTTGAGGGTCAAGATTTTTCGGCTGTTCCAAATCTTCATCTAGTTCTGTGAAGTTAGTTTCCAAAGGAGGGACTTGTTCGTTTCCTTCAGGCTCTTCTAGCTGTTGTTGCTGACTATTTCTTCCATGTCTGGTTGTATCTGAACTTCTTCCTGTGGAGTTTCTTGTACCTACTCATCTGCTGGCATTTCATATATTCCGAGACCGTTTTCAACAAGTTCCCTATTTAAGTCATCCGCATTCATAAGCCTTTGTTCTTTCGTTCCGTCTCTATTTTTTACGCGTTTCATGAAGATAGTTGAATTATCATTTATCTCTGACACCAAATATCTCGGAGTAAATTCATCCATGTCATTTGGATGATATGCTATTAAATCATATCCCTTAGCGAGCTTGTATTTTCCAGGTTTGAAATTATATCCGATTTGGTGCTGAGCCATAAAGCTAAATAGGTTCGGGTCAATATTTCCTTCCTTGAACTTTCTAATAGCTTCTTTATATCTGTCACTAAAGTCAAGAGTATCTGAGTAACCATACTCTTCTTTAAGCATTTTTAAGAATTCTTGGTTTCCTTGTTCTCTACTTCTTTTATGTCCTTGCTCTGTTTGTGGTTGTTGTTGTGCAGGGTTTTGAACTGTTGGTTGCTGTGCTGGTTGTGGAGGTGGTTGTTGTGCTGGTTGTTGTTGCTGTGCTGGTTGTTGTGCTGGTTGTTGTGCTGGTTGTTGTGTTGGTTGTTGTTGTTGTTGTGCTGGATTTTGAACTGTTGGTTGTTGTGTTGGTTTTGGTGCATGCCTGTGTCTGTGTCCATGTGACGATGTAAATGTTTTAGGTAGTCCTGGTGCAGGTGCTTCTCTTGGAGGGTTTGGTGGTATATAAGTTCCACTAGCTAGTATATAAGTTCCACCAGCTGGCACATATGTTCCATCTGCAGCATAATGTCCTACCTGACTTTTCGTTCTTAAGAAAGCATTTACTAGGTCTGTTTTGGTCTGTTGTAACTCTTTTTCTTGACTTTCCAACAAGTTGCTCTAACGGCGTCATAGGCACTTTGAACTGCCTGTCTCGTTGCTGCATCTGTTATTTTCGTCATATTTTGTGCTACTTCTTTTAACTCTTTGTCGAAACCTTCAGACTTCAGTTTCTTTCCAGATGAGAAGTCGTTCACTAGTTTCACCTTACTATGAAGAGCTTCGAAGGCGTTCTTAAAGTCAGCATTTTTAAAGCTTCATTTGAACTGTCTTCATCCGCTTGTATTTTTGTCCTTATTGACCCTATAAGTTGGGCTGCTTTAGCGTTGGCTTGGGCATCTAACCAGTCATTGTTAGCTTTTATATATTCTGCGCTTTTCATTGCCTTTTGCATGGCTGCGTCGTTATTTTTACTTTCTTGTGCTAAGTTTTCATACTGTACGGTTTGGTTTTGCAACTGTAAAAGTTTTTCTGCCTTTACATTTGCTTCAACTTCTTTTTTATACTCATTGCTATCCATATATGTCTTCAGGGCTTTTTGTTTTATCTCTTCATCTTTCAGTACTTTATATTGAGTAGTATGGTTTTTCAAATTTAAACATCTTGTTCCATTTTTGCTACTTCTGCTGCTTTTTCTGACACTTTTTTCGCATATTCCTCTGTACTTAGTTCTTTCAGTTGTTCTTCTTTCTTCTTTTTCTCTACGTTTAACTCATTGAGTTTCTTTGTGTGTCTGTCATATTCTAGTTTCTTTTCGTTTTCACTTATTTGCTTCTGTATGTCTATGTTTGACTTTTTGACATCTGTTATTTGATTTTTGAGTGAACTCAAATTCATTTGACTTTGAGGGTTATAGGCTGTTCCGTCTGCAGCTCCACCATAGCCTGCCATTTTCGCTAAAAGTGCCGCTCTTAAACCTCCACTCTGTGCACCAATGACTCGGTTTAAAAGCATAGGATTGCTTGACATTTGTTGCAACATAGTGGGGTCATTCAGCATTTGTTGTTGCAACTGTTGTTGTGGTGTCAGTTTTACTATTGGATGTTTCAATGCTCTCTTCCTCTTACGTATATTCTTACGTAGCTTACGTGGCATTTTAAGTGAAGTTAAAAAGCGGTTTTTGACAGATGTTTATATGACACTTTTTGTTCAGCACAAAAAACTACTCGGTCAAAGTGTTGACAGTTTTGTAAAATAACCGTCCTATCTCATTCTATAAGGGGAAAAGGCTTCTCAAAGTATACTTCCTTGGAACGCCTGTAACTTTTCCTGTAGCGACGATAGACCCTTAGTTGTCCGGACAAAGCTGTACTATTTTGAGTGCTCTACAAAAAAGTCAACGGCGACGACTCTCAAAAACCGTTGTGTAAAAAGTTTTACCGTTGGACAAAAAAGTATATATAGAAAACAAAAAACGTTTATAGTTCATTCAATATTTGAGATGGAACGGTTTTCCAACGGTAACTATTAAATAAAATAAAAAAATAGAGGGGGTTACCGTTGACGAAAACGGTTTATTTTAAACTTTTCTATGAGTAGTCCGAAAAAAACAGTTCATTTTTCATAATGGAAGGAAGAACAAGTGTCGCAAACAATTCTTCGACTACCTCTGCAGTTAAAGTTCCTACAACTTATGTCTCACCATTCTCAAAACCCTTACGACCTCCTATAATACCAAAGCAAGTTCCTCATACAATTCAAGACAATTTGTCCAACAATTTGAGTTCTTCTTCTCAAAACACAACAGATACAGTTGTCCAAACAGCACCAGAACAAGTTTCACATAGTTCTACAATTCAAGACAAATTGTCCAACAATTTGAGTTCTTCTTCTTCTCAAAACACAACAGAAACATCTGAAACAGATTTACAACCAGCACCAGAACAAGTTTCACATAGTTCTACAAGTATGTTAACAAGAGCACAATTTCAAGATTTAATTTTTCTTGAACAATATTCGAGTAACGAAACACAAACCGACGACTGTAACCTCTCGCTACCCGAATCCATTCAAAGAAAATACGCCATGAAAAGACTGAAATTGTTGTATAAACTTCTTAACAATTGGGGGTCGAAGACAACTCAGATTATAGTGAAATGTTTAACAAAGTCATAGAATCTGTTAAACCAATTGAAAACGACATAAAAAATCCCGGTGTTCTTGTAGACCTTTTCGCCTCAAAATTACCAGTTACAACCAATCTAATAGCAACACAAGCTATAGAGCAATTTATTTTATGTTTTCCCAAGCAATATAGACAACACCTCAGGGAAACAAGAATAGGAAAATTTCAATTGGTGTATCCTACAACATACAACTATTACGAAGAAGCAAATGAATATGGAGAACTCTCATTCCATTTCACACTTTCAGTTCCTGAGGGAGAAGAAAAAGCAATCTATCATGTACAATCTCTTGCAGGATGTGAAGGAAAACCTCACATAATAACTACTGTTGCAATTGACAAACCTGCAAGAGTCGAAGACGATGTTTTGTTCGCGTCCATTGCTGGTTTTGGCATGGGAGAACCAATTCCAATTTCCCATTTCACAGAATACTCAGCACAACATTTTCAAAATGTAGAATTCGTGTTCTACGACCATCAAAAGTTCCTGCTAACAAAACCAAAGAAACAATTTGTCTCAATATTTGTTGCTGGTCATGTGGCTGACAAAGAGCCATCAGATACTGACTATGAAGAAGAGGAGGAGGAAGAAGAAAACGATAGCGATGTCGTTCTTATCGAATAAAAACTTCATTTATACTAAACATCTTCGGGGCTAGAGGGCGCAACGCGCCTGGAAGCCCCACTACCTTTTTTTTTTTTTTGGGGCCATATGAGATGAAAATTGTGTGTGATAAAGAACATTCCTTCATTTTTTAGAATCAAAGTTCAATTGTATATACTCATTATCAGTTTTAAAACTTCATCGTATTATTAAGAAAAGTAAAAGCATGTTTTGTTTTTTAAAAAGTCTTCAATTTTTTTAAATCTAAGATCAATGTTTTGGTTAACATTTCCACTTAGTTAAAGAGTTAAGGGATAAGTGGAGGTAAGATCTTATTATAATAAAAGTTGCTTCAGAATCATAAAATGCAAACGTTTTATTTGTATATTGAAACAAATTCCTACAAAAAAAAAAGGTAGTGGGGCTTCCAGGCGCGTTGCGCCCTCTAGCCCCGAAGATGTTTAGTATAAAACCGCTTTTTAACTTCACTTAAAATGCCACGTAAGCTACGTAAGAATATACGTAAGAGGAAGAGAGCATTGAAACATCCAATAGTAAAACTGACACCACAACAACAATTGCAACAACAAATGATGAATGACCCCACTATGTTGCAACAAATGTCAAGCAATCCTATGCTTTTAAACCGAGTCATTGGTGCACAGAGTGGAGGTTTAAGAGCGGCACTTTTAGCGAAAATGGCAGGCTATGGTGGAGCTGCAGACGGAACAGCCTATAACCCTCAAAGTCAAATGAATTTGAGTTCACTCAAAAATCAAATAACAGATGTCAAAAAGTCAAACATAGACATACAGAAGCAAATAAGTGAAAACGAAAAGAAACTAGAATATGACAGACACACAAAGAAACTCAATGAGTTAAACGTAGAGAAAAAGAAGAAAGAAGAACAACTGAAAGAACTAAGTACAGAGGAATATGCGAAAAAAGTGTCAGAAAAAGCAGCAGAAGTAGCAAAAATGGAACAAGATGTTTTAAATTTGAAAAACCATACTACTCAATATAAAGTACTGAAAGATGAAGAGATAAAACAAAAAGCCCTGAAGACATATATGGATAGCAATGAGTATAAAAAAGAAGTTGAAGCAAATGTAAAGGCAGAAAAACTTTTACAGTTGCAAAACCAAACCGTACAGTATGAAAACTTAGCACAAGAAAGTAAAAATAACGACGCAGCCATGCAAAAGGCAATGAAAAGCGCAGAATATATAAAAGCTAACAATGACTGGTTAGATGCCCAAGCCAACGCTAAAGCAGCCCAACTTATAGGGTCAATAAGGACAAAAATACAAGCGGATGAAGACAGTTCAAATGAAGCTTTAACAAATGCTGACTTTAAGAACGCCTTCGAAGCTCTTCATAGTAAGGTGAAACTAGTGAACGACTTCTCATCTGGAAAGAAACTGAAGTCTGAAGGTTTCGACAAAGAGTTAAAAGAAGTAGCACAAAATATGACGAAAATAACAGATGCAGCAACGAGACAGGCAGTTCAAAGTGCCTATGACGCCGTTAGAGCAACTGTTGTGGAAAGTCAAGAAAAAGAGTTACAACAGACCAAAACAGACCTAGTAAATGCTTTCTTAAGAACGAAAAGTCAGGTAGGACATTATGCTGCAGATGGAACATATGTGCCAGCTGGTGGAACTTATATACCACCAAACCCTCCAAGAGAAGCACCTGCACCAGGACTACCTAAAACATTTACATCGTCACATGGACAAAGACACAGGCATGCACCAAAACCAACACAACAACCAACAGTTCAAAATCCAGCACAACAACAACAACAACCAACAGTTCAAAATCCAGCACAACAACAACAACAACCAACAGTTCAAAATCCAGCACAACAACAACAACAACCAACAGTTCAAAATCCAGCACAACCAGCACAGCAACCAACAGTTCAAAACCCTGCACAACAGCAACCACAAACAGAGCAAGGACATAAAAGAAGTAGAGAACAAGGAAACCAAGAATTCTTAAAAATGCTTAAAGAAGAGTATGGTTACCCAGATACTCTTGACTTTAGTGACAGATATAAAGAAGCTATTAGAAAGTTCAAGGAAGGAAATATTGACCCGAACCTATTTAGCTTTATGGCTCAGCACCAAATCGGATATAATTTCAAACCTGGAAAATACAAGCTCGCTAAGGGATATGATTTAATAGCATATCATCCAAATGACATGGATGAATTTACTCCGAGATATTTGGTGTCAGAGATAAATGATAATTCAACTATCTTCATGAAACGCGTAAAAAATAGAGACGGAACGAAAGAACAAAGGCTTATGAATGCGGATGACTTAAATAGGGAACTTGTTGAAAACGGTCTCGGAATATATGAAATGCCAGCAGATGAGGTACAAGAAACTCAACAGGAAGAAGTTCAGATACAACCAGACATGGAAGAAATAGTTCAGCAACAACAGCTAGAAGAGCCTGAAGGAAACGAACAAGTCCCTCCTTTGGAAACTAACTTCACAGAACTAGATGAAGATTTGGAACAGCCGAAAAATCTTGACCCTCAACAAGTGTATGCGGAGAATATGGAATTTTTCCAAGAGTCTAAAAAAATTCGGCTGACATAGTAGAAGAATATCGAAAAATGTTTGCCGACATACAAAAGACTCCAACACCAGATGAAAATATTCAGCATAGAATGGAAGTACTGAAAGAAAATGTACGCAAATACAACAACCCTTTTTACTTACGAGCATATAACGTTCAATCTTTGGCTGAACTCGGTGAAAATAAAAGGTTAAATTTCAACAAAACATATAGAAATGAAACATTGTTTAAAGTTCATTCAGAACCCAACCAAGATGGAAACAAACCTACTTTTGTTTCTGCAGACTATGGAACTACAATGAGATGGGGTCATAAAGCTAATCCGGATAGGTGGTTCATAAACTTACAACCTCAATTCCAAGAAGTTGTAGACGCAATGGAAGTGAATGGTGAACCAGATATAGCTGGTATTTTCAGCGCGGCTTTAATGCCATTGAAAGATATGAAAGATGCAGATATTTTGGACCGGTATGAAATGAACATGGCTGATGGAAATATAACACCTGACGTTCTAAAACATTTATCTCAAAGAACTACACAGAACCATAAAGATGGTATATTTGGTGAAGAGTTTAGAAAGAAAGTTAGGGAGAGAGAAGGAAGAGAACCTATTGTACATGACCTTGCAAACGAAAGTTTACAAAATGTCATAAAAACTTACTTTGCAGACAATGAACCGAGAAGGGATGAATATTTAAGAAAACTCAAATGGACAGTACCAAATGAAATGTTAGTATTGAAAAACATGTTCCATGACAAAATAAAACCAACTACAGAAATAAACGACGCAAGACTGAAACGTTGGGTAAAAGCTTTCCCATTCACAAAAGATATTGTTGGTAACATGGAAAGAAAACCAGAATGGCTACAAAAACATATATTTGGAAACAAGCTTATTCCATATGGACAGGCTCTGTTTGAAGAGCTTGAACCGGAAACTCAGGAAAGAGTCATGCAAACAATACGCGAAGACTCAAATACAAACTATGACAAACTCTTTCTAGGATATAGGTTACCTGAGGTGGGCGACCAGAGCCAAAAGGCAAAAAGGGCATGGAAAATTTGCAACATACTAGATGAACATGAGGCAAAGATGCAACAACTTGAAGCAGAGGGCAAGTTACCAAAAGCGACACCAAAGAAGAAGAGAAGAGTAGAACAAAGTGAAAGTAGTGAAAGTAGTGGCAATGAAGGAAAAAGAAGAGTTAAAAACTCAGTCAGGAAGAAAGTAAAGCTTGGTCCGAGTGGGTTCTATTATGACACATAAATCCAACTATTCTATATTTTTACCCATATGAAATGTACGCCGCTCAGAATATAACGCCAACAGTTTTGGATGCCATGAATGGAAATGTTTCCGAATGGTATAACGAATGCGACAATGCCATTAGAAGGTCAGAAATAGTTCCTGGAACTTACGAATATACAACTGCTGTTTCTTATGGAAACGTAGGTGAGTTTGGAGAAGGTTCTTCAACAACAGTAGATATTGCTTGCGACAGGTTTCATATTATTTCTATTGACAACTCATTCTTATACGTGGAACAAGACATTGAAATAAAACCTTCTGCCAAGTTGTCTGACAAGAAAGGTTGCAATGGAATTTTCTATGTCGGATACCAATATGCTCCAGAAGTTTTCATGGGATATAAGATATATTCTAACTCTGACTTAGTTCAAACAGTAACATGGGCAAACTATGAATGGTTCGCTTTAAGAAACTCAGTACAACCACAAGCTAGAGAACAAACAGACCAGTATGCAACTATTGAGAAAATAAGAAGACTTGACCCTAACGTTCCAGGAGTTTATGTTAACCTTTCTGGACAAACTGCAGCAGCAGTAACCAAAGTAAAACTGAAACTTAGAGTTCCTTTGTCATCTTTCCTTATCTTCAGGTTTTTAAGATACTTGCCAAACTGGGCAGGAAAAATTTCTATCGAACTTACTCCAAGCAAAAATAACTTAGTCATTGCACCAACACAAGACCCATTCACTCTTACAGACGTAAAGGGAACAAATCAAACGTCATTCGCCGAATTTTGCAAAGACAAAGTTGACTTAGACTTTGGTTTCTCAAACCTCAACACTGAAGTAAACTATTATTTCAATGCTGCTGGAACTGCTTGGGACCCAGTTAAGTTCACATGCGAAAAATTTGAATGCAAGAGAATAGAAAGCAGACTTGCAGTCTATATGTTGGACCCAGATATTTCAAATGCTTTAGCTGCCAAATATATTGCAGTTCCACTTATGTTCCCTATACACCAAATATCTGTCAAAGACTTTGCAGGTGAAGTTGGAAACCAAAGTGCTGACCCAGGTGCAAGAACAGATATTGCCTTAACAACTGCAATGAAACATGCAGATACTATGTTTGTACTGTTCAGACGAACTATAAATGACTATTCTTGTTTCTACAACCCTGGTATTAAATATCATATAAACATAGATGGCAAATATTATCCAAGAGAAGAATATTCTACAGTTGAGGATATGAGGTCATACAACTTGACATTAGATGCTATGAACTTTAACAACAACTTCACAACAACCATTAACCCTGAAATGCAAAGTTCTATTATGCCATATGTGAAAGTATGGACTCATACAGGAGGTCAAAAAACTCAATATACAAATGGAGACCGTTCAAACTTTTGGCTTGGCATTCCATTTGCTGACTCAGAAGACTTTATGGGTGGTATTTCAACTGTTGGTACAGTTCAAATACAATATACTGGTGACAGAGACGGTCCAGATGAATTGAAAGCAAAGAAGTTTACAAAACCAATAGCACTTTCACGGAAGATGCTCTTTTGAAGATTCGTTCGATGAAACCTGCTGGGGCTCCACAGATTGGCATAACGACAGCTTCCATCGAGCAGATTTTGGCAGCAGGTCAGTAAGTTGTTCTTGAACTGACTTCTCTCCATCAAATATTGACAGTACGCCAGTTTTGACATAATATTGTATTATAAACTTACCTTTAGAAATATCGGTCAGTTTTGTTGTTATATTTTTGTCAACGTCAAGAAACTTTCACCCATTTCAGTTATACCAACTTTCTTTGCTTTATGAAAATATTTTGGTTCAGCAAAGACTGCTATTCTATAACATTTTTCCATTGTTTGTGTAAAGAACTATTTCTGTCAATGAACTTGTATTGTTTGTGTGTGTAAACTTTGTTTTGCTTCAATTCGAAGAGATACTCAAATACGTCCATATTTTTATTCTAAGTAAAATGTCATTTCCGAAAAATAGAAGCGTAAGTGTTTCAAAAGGTTTAATGGCGGTGGCAGATGTGAAGTTAAATTCACCAACTCAAACAAACAGTCAAAGTGTTATTGTCAATGTCAAAGACAGAGATGTTGAAATGGGGAAACCATACGAAGACGAAGATGGTATAACAATAGTTCCTGTAAAAGAACAACCAACATATCCTGAAGTTAGCAGAGACTTAAGTTCTGTTGCAGATATTCGAAACGACTACCAACAACTGAAAGACAAACTTAAAACTCAGGAGAAGATTTGTCAAGCTTTAGGTATAATGTTAAACTTGGTCGAACACAACCCTGTAAAATGAACTCATATGTCATTGCACCTCATGAAGTTTTGAAAGAAACTATTGAAACTTTTGACAGAGGCAGACGATATAAACATCAAAGAAATAGAACCCGACATTGCTTGCTGTGGTGTTTCATATAATGTCATTGACAAGATATACGTTATGAAAGGAGGTGAAACGTTGAACTTAAAATATAGTTTCCCAGACGTTATAAAAATATTTGACGACACAACATTTCATTAAAATTTAGTTGCTAAGTAAAAAGTCAAAACTTCTTGAAAGATGTTTGAAGAAAAATAATATAGACTTATTTCATGTAAAGGACTTTACACACTTTTGAACGATATGAAAGACCCTGTTTTGTTTGTTCGTGTAGACAAAGGAAAGTTCTATGTCTTTAACAAAAATATTTGAACTTCTTAGACAGAGAACTTCAAGAAACGCCATGTGAAAGTTTAGATGAAGTTTTCTCTCCACTTTCAGAAAAACTTTTAAATATATGTAAATGGCAGAAGACATAGTGGTTATACTATTACGACTAAAACCTGAGTCATATAATTCTATAACAACAAACTTACAAAGTCCTCAAGGACGATATTGTAAACTAACCTTAAACACAATGACGACTAAAGCCTGTTTTGCTCTTTTGACACCAGAAGATTTTATTGTTGTGAATGGTAAAAAATACTCCTTTGAAGATACTTACTCAGATATACCACCAACAGGTTTTTGACTTATTTAATACTTTAAGGACGGGTGTAACATGTGCTGCAACTAGAGCAGGTTTCATTATGTTTGGATGTCGACTGAGTTTACTATAAACGATATGAGCTATAATACAAAACTTATATCTGGTTTTTTACTACCAACAATTTCCTATAACAGGAAAAGGTGTCATACAAGGTTTGTCTATTCCATTGACTTTAAGTACACCTATTTTATATATTGTTTCAAACTTAGGTTCAAAGTGCTATTCGAATGTCGACAGAAACTACTATGACCAAAAGATACTCATGCGTATAAACAACACATTCTCTGCTGGTTTGCTATTGTTCATTCGAATGCAGAATTTTCAACCTTAGTGAACTCAAACACTTTGGCAAGTATAACGTTGACATTAGTTGACGCAAACTTTGTTCCTGTAAAACTTTTATGTCCTATGTATTTGTCAATGACGGCAGAAAGTTTCGAATTGGAAGATGCAACTGGTGAAAGTATTGTACTACAAGAACAACTTCAACAACAAATAGCTCAAGAACAAATGCAACAAATGGAACAAATGCAACAAATAGCTCAAGAATAAAAAAATATTTTTTTTATTTTTATAAAAATGTACAGAATAGATGTTTCAGATTTTTATGACTTCCAAGCCTTCAGAAATATGTGTCCATTTAGAGACTATAACAAAGCAGTCGAGAATTTGAAACGTTTAGTCATTTATGTCGACTCTGCCCCAGAATGTTATGTTATGAAAGAATGGGATGTAGTCTTTAACAAACCTAAAGCGACAATAGTTTTCAGAACAAGAATGTAAACAGAAACTTAAGAAAATAAAAGTCGTACAAGTTGGTATGAAGATGTTAGATGCTTGGGATATCTTATTGTCAAAGTTAGATGATTTTTCAGTTCGTGGTAAAAGTTCTATACACCTTCTCCAACTTCTATTCTATCTTCACTGGATATAAATACGAACAAGTAGAATGGAAAGAAAATGTTATAGAGCTTGGTTAGACATGTCAAAGAAAATTATATGCAATGGAAACGAAAGAGTCTATGAGTATATCTTATGTTGGTTTTGCAAACATCTTACAAATCCAAGTGCTAAAAATGAAACTGCTCTCATCATAATTGGAAAACAAGGAACAGGTAAGAACACTTTCTTTACAGATATCTTATGCAAACTGTTAGAGGGCTATTCGAATCCGAATATGACAAACTTAGAAAACATCTGCGGTAAATTTAACTCTTCAATAGAGAATATGAAACTTATAGTATGTAACGAACTTCAAAGTATAGATACAACAAAAGTTTGAACTCAGATGCTTTGAAGAGTCTTATAACAGACAAAGTTGGAGTTGTTGAAAGAAAATATAAAGACCAAAGAGTTTTGAAAATGTTGCAAATTTCATTATGGTTTCAAACAATGCCGTTCCGATGAAGTTAGAAAGTTCTGACAGAAGATATGTAGTTGTCAGAACGTCAGATTCTCATATGCAAGATACAGAATATTTTGACGACTTAGCAGAAACTTTGACATCTGACTTTTACAACCACTTGTTCTCATATTTCATGACATTAGATATTTCTAAGTTCAATCCAAGACAAATTCCACATACCGAAGAGAGACAAACATTGTTAGAAGCAAACAAGAGTGTATATGAACTGTTCATAGATGAAACTGACTTTGAGTGTTTGATGAAAGGTCATTGTACATGAATATAAACAATAATTGTCAAGAGTATGGTTATATGACAGCGTCTAAACGAACATTCTTGGCAAATGTCAAAAGTCTTTTAGACGTACAGAATGGTGTATATACAAAGAAAAATTTTTCTGAGTAAATTTTAAAAAAAAATATTTTTTTATCCGATAGAAAAGATGACAAAATTCATCTCAGTAAACAAGTACATGTCAGGACTTAAAGAAGAACTAGACCCATTCACATATTTGAATGTTTACTTCTACCATTTTGAAAAGTCTACATTTGACAAAGTTTGGAACATCGAACCAGTTAAGTTTGCTATTGTGACTAAAAATGGTGCGAAATTTGAAGACTTAGACATAGAAGGTTTGTTAACAGTCAAAGAAAGTTTTGACAGAAGGTTTTCAAACCTTAAAGAAGGCAAAGCATACAAACTTGTTATACCTTATGAACCAAAGAAAGCAGACGACTATGAATATTATGAGTCTAAGATAGTTGAAGTTCAAGGTAAATTGGGTAAAAAGATTTTAGAGTCTAAGCCAGTGTTTGCTCCTAAAGAGGAAGAGAACATTGACATTGACCCAGAAATGTTCTAAAAATAAAATTTTATTTTTACATGTCAAATTTCTTTTTCTCTGGCTCTGGTTCTTTCTTCTCTTCTTCTACTTTCTTTTCTTTCTTTTCTCTCTTCTTCTTCTCTGGTGGAGTTATGTCAAACTTCTCAGAACCATATTTTTGTAAAAGTTCTTTGTCATTTAATAGCTCTTCTATTCTGTTTTCTATTTCATTTTCAAGAACAGCGCATGTGTCTTCTTTGCATTCTAAGAAGTTTTGTTGGACTTCATCTCTCCAAGAGGCGTCATCTCTGTCAACAAGTCTGTCATTGACAAATTTTAAGACTGCTCTGCTTAATGTTTTATGGTTCTTGTCATATTCCCAGAAACAGAACTTTAGAACAAATTCCCCTTTCTTGTTTACACTATGTAAGATTTTATGGTCGACAGATGTTTTGCTGTCGAAAAGTTTGTCACGAATATAAATAGCGAAATCGCTAGACATTTTCTAAAAGATAAAAATTTTAATTTTTCTAAAAATATGTTAGAAAAAAAGTTTGCTGACATTGACAAGAAATTTGAGAATGTTTTAAACAAGAACAAGGTGAAGTTAGAAAATGCTCAGATAAAACCCATACATGACAAGTTCTTATTTGCTCAGAATGGTATAACAGGTCTAATCGCACCACCTGGGTCGGGTAAGACTTTCACTTATCTTAAAATGGCTGCACAACAACAAGAACTAGATGAGAAGAACCCATTCTATGAGTTAGTAGTCATTTGTAGTACTTCGGGTCAATTTGACCAAACCGTCAATTCGTTCAAAGATATTATAAAGAAGTCTAAGTTAGTATGTATAAAAGACTCTGAGTTGTTAGATTGGATAAAGAAGTACCAAAGAAGAGTTTTGAAGTACAATGCTATAAATGAGTATATAAACTCGAAGTTTAAAGACCCAAATGAGGAAATGCAGAGAATATTAGAGAAGAAACACTTCAGAAACAAACAGAAAGAGATTGAGTACCTTTCGAAGAAATTGCAATCTTACGATTGGAAGACTTACCCTCACAGATGTCTTCTTATCTTAGATGACTTTGCTTCTCATCCTTTGTTAAAGAACAGAGAACAAGACATGTGTCGGATTCTTAAGAAGCTCAGACACTTTAACATCTCAGTTGTCATTTGTGTACAGACAGCCAAGAGTTTAAGTAAGGATGTTAAAAGAATACTTACTGATATTATACTTTTCCCCGGATTGTCCGAAGACGATTTCATGGAACTTATGAAAGAGTCCATGGCAGGTAAGTTTGACAGACATGAACTATGGGAGAAGTACAAAGTCATACAAGACCCTCATACTTCTTTCAGAATTCATATCTACGCAAACAAAGTTCAAATTGTTTCAAGACAAGCTTGAAAAATGTAAGTGTTTGAGTCTTAGTCTGTTGTGGTTCTGCAGCTTTCGGTTCTTCTGGCTTTGGAAGGCATTCAGGAAGAGGAATGTCAGTCGTCCGTTTGTGTCCTGTCGGAAGGAAGAGTTCTTCCAGTTGTCGGGAAAATATTTTCCAGTTGTCGGGAAAATATTTTCCTGTCGGAAGGAAAAATTTTTCCTGTCGGAAGGAAAAACTTTTCCTGTCGGAAGGAAAAACTTTTTCTGAAGTTCGACCAAAAAGTTCTCAATTTTCGAAAATTTGAATGGTTTACGGACGGACAACTGGAAAAATTTTTCCTGTCGGAAGGAAAATTTTTTCCTGTCGGAAGGAAAATTTTTTCCTGTAGGAAGGAAATTTTTTTCCTGTAGGAAGGAAATTTTTTTCCTGTAGGAAGGAAATTTTTTTCCTGTTGGAAGGAAATTTTTTTCCTGTTGGAAGGAAGGACTCGGAATGCCAGAAGGATTTGACAAGACAATTTACCTTATAGAGCTACCTGAGCCATCTTTGGTGTCAAGCTTGAAAAATAAATGGTTCATTTACTCTGCTTGTTTGAAGTTGTCAAAATACTCTGTTATTTTTTCCTTTAACAATGGCAAATCTTCTTTGAATGTAAGTATTGTACAACCTTTCATATCATAGTGTGTTTGAGGTAACGTATCTTGAACTATTTGTTTCACATCTTCATTTGGGGTCATTGAAATCGGTAAGTTTTCGCGATAGAACCAATTTCTGTCAGATTTGTAAATCTTAGCAAGGTCGTAAAAGCTTTTGTTGTTTCTTCTGACTAAATGCAACATAACCATATCTCTGTCTTCTTCATTTTCCATCTCTTCAGTATAAATCATATACTTATAGTTCTTTTCCTTTCCTTTTGGTACCGAACGTGGTATTCTTTTCTGTATGTTTTTGTCTTTTGCTTCAAGCTTGTTCTCTAGCTCTTCACGTTCTTGTCTATGAATTTCATCTAACATCATGAAAATATAACAAGCATAGCGAGGTGAAGCCCACATTGCAACAGCATTTACTAAAAGTCTATGTACATACCAACCTCTCAAACCATTTGGCAAATTTTTACGATTTTCGTACGGAATCTCGACCCTCGATTTTTCGAGGGTCGCAAACATATGAGGAAATTCTTCTAAAAGTTCTTTTGTCTGTTGGTTTTCAAACCAATGATATGCTTGCTTTGTAGAACGAAGAGCATTCAAAATACTTTGCATTTGGTACATGTCATCTTTGACCGAACGAATGAGACGTAACTGTTTGTTATACTGAACCCACTCGTATTCTTCATCTATAGCTTCATGAACGATAGCAGTTGTTGTGTTCTCTGATGTTGACATATCTGTCTTTACATACAAAATAAAAAAAATATTTTATAAAAAACTAGCGTTATTTTCTATCTTGTATAAAAGACCAAAAATAAACGCTTTACATGTATTTTTCAGCAACTTCGTCAAATAATTTTATAGCACTATCTATCTCATCTACTTCAAACGTTTCTTTACCTTTCGTGGGAGCACCATACATTTTCTCAAACTTTTCAAGTAGTTCTGTTTCAGCAGCTCTCATATCGTTAACAAACACAACCTTGACTCTATTGACTGTATTGTCATATCTTTGAGTTATATTATATGTTCTTCCTATCTTATATCTCTTTGTATTGAAGTCCTTCGGTTTCTGAACGATGTAAAGTAAGCCTTCACTGCAACGTTCCGTATCGAATGAACCATTTGTTATGAAGTTATATCCAACAACTGGGTCTAACCATAACAAAACTATTGGTATAAGACTTTTGTCTATAAGATATGCTCTTGTTCCATAGAATCTTACCGATATCATAAGCTCAGGATTTCTTGTCAAAATTTTCTGAGTTGAAGCATTTCTAACCCAGTCCTTTGCTTTCTTTTCAGATAGTGTTAGAATGTCTGACAAAGAATATTTGTTGTATTTCTTTGAGTATCTTACGTTTAAATCACCAATTCTAACCATTTTGGTGTCATTGTCTATCTTTTTAACTGTTTCAAACTCAATGTTTGTCATTTTCTGTTCTTACATACAAAATAAAAAAATAAAAAAAAATAAAACTAACTTTTTTTTTCTATCTTGTATAAAAGATATGATTTCAGGGATTTTTTTTACGAAGTGTAAAAGTTCTCTTCGTCAAAAAAATACAGTTATATCATGATTTTTGGTCATTTTTTCACGATTTTCATAGAGTTTTGGCGACTGGGTTTTTTTACCTGCTCGCATTTTTTTACGATTTTCATGAGTTTTTTTCACGATTTTCATAGAGTTTTGGCGAGTAAGATTTTTTACTTACTCGCATTTTTTCACGATTTCAGGGATTTTTTTTACGATTTTCATAGAGTTTTGGCGACCCCGAAAAAAGTCTGGGTCGCATTTTTTCACGATTTTCATGAGTTTTTTTTACGATTTTCGTACGGAATCTCTATCCTCGGTTTTTCGAGGGTAGCAAAAATATGAGGAAATTCATGAAATTTGGTCATTTTTTTCACGATTTCATAGAGTTTTTTTACGAAGTGTCAAAGTTCTCTTCGTCAAAAAAATACAGTTATATCATGATTTTTGGTCATTTTTTCACGATTTCAGGGATTTTTTTTACGAAGTGTCAAAGTTCTCTTCGTCAAAAAAATACAGTTATATCATGATTTTTGGTCATTTTTTCACGATTTCAGGGATTTTTTTACGAAGTGTCAAAGTTCTCTTCGTCAAAAAAATACAGTTATATCATGATTTTTGGTCATTTTTTCACGATTTCAGGGATTTTTTTTACGAAGTGTCAAAGTTCTCTTCGTCAAAAAAATACAGTTATATCATGATTTTTGGTCATTTTTTCAGCAAAAATATATTTTAGGGTAGATGGTTTTTAGGTGGAACCAGGTCACCAGGTCACTCGGTCAACTAACATCTTTTTTTATAAGCGTTTTACATGAATTGTACGATGTATATTTGAAATCCTAAACAGTTTTGTAGCTTCTATTTCTTCTGTCAGTATGTCAAAAGTTTTAACAATGCCGAATGTTTCTTTATATTTCTTCTTGACGTCAGATAGAAGGAAATCGTCAGCAGTTGGATAGTTTTTGTTTAGAAATGTCAACATGTCCATTTTATCTTCTGCTGGTTTCTCTGCTTCTTTCTTTAAGTCAGCATAGTCGTTTCGCATACGTTCTATCTCTTTGACGGAGTAGTTATATTTCCTCATTGCTGCTTTACATTTTGAACATTGTGGGTTCATTTTAGCATTGTACATTGAAACCTTACCTGCAAGTACGACTAAGGCGTAAATGGTTTTCTTTAACTCAAAGGCTGCTGGTTTTATTTGTCCGTTCCATACTTTACCTCTTCTATCTTTATCTCTTATCTGCCATACACATTCAGCAACTAACGAAACAAAGTTGTCGTAGGTCTTAAATTCTTCAGATTTATATATGTCAATGAAATATACCATATCGCAGTCTTTGTCCATGACTTTGTGGTTGCAATGAAATCCAAGAAACTCATAGTTCATACCTTACGTATGAACTTCTTTATTTCTACTGAGTCGGTTGGTCTGACTTCAATTTCTTCAAATTCTGGAATAGTAAGCTTTTGTTGTTGTATTTCAGGAAGTTTAGGTAGATGGTCAATAATATCCTGCATTTCATAAAGATATTCTTCATTTTCTTCATCTTTTGCAGTGCAATCTAAATCTCCTTGGAGAAGTTCTTGCTTTATCTTCTGGATTTCTGTTTCGAAAGTATATGAAGAAGGAATGAAGCTTTTCATTTCTACTAACATTGAAGTTGGGTTCATGACTAACGAGTTTGGTGCTGTTGTTGCTAACATGTTCTTACAATAAAACTAAAATATATTTTTGTCTGATTTACGCTCATTACGATGAAATCATGACAAAACATATACGATGAAGTCTATTTCCTGTGTTGTTGTCAAAATGTCATGTTGTCACCATTTTCAAAAAGATGTTAGTTGACCGAGGGACCGAGGGACCTGGTGACCTGGTCTCACCTAAAAACCATCTAACCTAAAATATATTTTTGTCTGATTTACGCTCATTACGATGAAGTCTTAACAAAACATATACGATGAAGTCTATTTCCTGTGTTGTTGTCAAAATGTCATGTTGTCACCATTTTCAAAAAGATGTTAGTTGACCGAGGGACCGAGGGACCGAGGGACCTGGTGACCTGGTTCCACCTAAAAACCATCTACCCTAAAATATATTTTTTGGTCATGGGCTATGCCCCGCCGCTTTGCGTCTTTATGACAAAAATATATGGTTCATTTACTCACAATATTTTTGTACAAAACGACCCCAAACTTTTAACTTCTTTTCTGCAGCTTCTAATGCTATCTTAGCGAGTTCATATTCTCTAAATTCTCTCTTTAAATCTTCTTGTTCCCATTGGTCTAGTTCGTATGGAGAGTCTCTATAACCATAACATATCTCACGTTCATGTTCTATTTGTTTAAGCACATTTTTTCTAACTTCTTCTTCGAACAAAGGTTTTGCATTCTCTACTGTATCTTCAAGTTCTTCTTCATCTAATTTCTCATGAACTTTCTTGTCTATGGAGTCCAGAATTTTTCCAACTGCTATACAATATTTTGGAGAAGCCCACATTGCTATATAGTTTAGAAGTCTTGGGTCTACATACGTTCCTCTAACCTGTTTGATTTCATCCGGAATTCCTGCACGAATTTTGTATAAAAAGCAATCGCCGGAATTCCGGCGATTGGTATATTCTTCACAAAATGCCATACACATTCAGCAACTAACGAAACAAAGTTGTCGTAGGTCTTAAATTCTTCAGATTTATATATGTCAATGAAATATACCATATCGCAGTCTTTGTCCATGACTTTGTGGTTGCAATGAAATCCAAGAAACTCATAGTTCATACCTTACGTATGAACTTCTTTATTTCTACTGAGTCGGTTGGTCTGACTTCAATTTCTTCAAATTCTGGAATAGTAAGCTTTTGTTGTTGTATTTCAGGAAGTTTAGGTAGATGGTCAAGTTCTTCTTCATCTAATTTCTCATGAACTTTCTTGTCTATGTTTTGTCAAGACTTCATCGTCAATGTTTTGTCATGATTTCATCGTCTATGTTTTTGTCATGATTTCATCGTATATGTTGTTGTCATGATTTCATCGTATATGTTTTGTCAAGACTTCTTCGTAAATGTTGTTGTCATGATTTCATCGTATATGTTTTGTCAAGACTTCTTCGTCAATGTTTTGTCAAGACTTCTTCGTCAATGTTTTGTCATGATTTCATCGTCAATGTTGTTGTCATGATTTCATCGTAAAGACTTTGTCATGACTTCATCGTATATGTTTTGTCATGACTTCATCGTCAATGTTTTGTCATGACTTCATCGTCAATGTTTTGTCATGACTTCATCGTCAATGTTTTGTCATGACTTCTTCGTCAATGTTTTGTCATGACTTCATCGTCAATGTTTTGTCATGACTTCATCGTCAATGTTTTGTCATGACTTCATCGTAAAGACTTTGTCATGACTTCATCGTATATGTTTTGTCATGACTTCATCGTATATGTTTTGTCAAGACTTCTTCGTCAATGTTTTGTCAAGACTTCTTCGTCAATGTTTTGTCATGACTTCTTCGTCAATGTTTTGTCATGACTTCATCGTAAAGACTTTGTCATGACTTCATCGTATATGTTTTGTCATGACTTCATCGTATATGTTTTGTCAAGACTTCTTCGTCAATGTTTTGTCAAGACTTCTTCGTCAATGTTTTGTCATGACTTCTTCGTCAATGTTTTGTCATGACTTCATCGTCAATGTTTTGTCATGACTTCATCGTCAATGTTTTGTCATGACTTCATCGTCAATGTTTTGTCATGACTTCATCGTCAATGTTTTGTCATGACTTCATCGTCAATGTTTTGTCATGACTTCATCGTATATGTTTTGTCAAGACTTCTTCGTCAATGTTTTGTCAAGACTTCATCGTCAATGTTTTGTCAAGTTCTTCTTCATCTAATTTCTCATGAACTTTCTTGTCTATGTTTTGTCAAGACTTCATCGTCAATGTTTTGTCAAAACTTCATCGTCAATGTTTTGTCAAGTTCTTCTTCATCTAATTTCTCATGAACTTTCTTGTCAATGTTTTGTCAAGTTCTTCTTCATCTAATTTCTCATGAACTTTCTTGTCTATGTTTTGTCAAGACTTCATCGTCAATGTTTTGTCAAAACTTCATCGTCAATGTTTTGTCAAGTTCTTCTTCATCTAATTTCTCATGAACTTTCTTGTCTATGTTTTGTCAAAACTTCATCGTCAATGTTTTGTCAAGTTCTTCTTCATCTAATTTCTCATGAACTTTCTTGTCTATGTTTTGTCATGACTTCATCGTCAATGTTTTGTCATGACTTCATCGTCAATGTTTTGTCATGACTTCATCGTCAATGTTTTGTCATGACTTCATCGTCAATGTTTTGTCATGACTTCTTCGTCAATGTTTTGTCATGACTTCATCGTCAATGTTTTGTCATGACTTCATCGTCAATGTTTTGTCATGACTTCATCGTCAATGTTTTGTCATGACTTCATCGTCAATGTTTTGTCATGACTTCATCGTATATGTTTTGTCAAGACTTCTTCGTCAATGTTTTGTCAAGACTTCATCGTCAATGTTTTGTCAAGTTCTTCTTCATCTAATTTCTCATGAACTTTCTTGTCTATGTTTTGTCAAGACTTCATCGTCAATGTTTTGTCAAAACTTCATCGTCAATGTTTTGTCAAGTTCTTCTTCATCTAATTTCTCATGAACTTTCTTGTCAATGTTTTGTCAAGTTCTTCTTCATCTAATTTCTCATGAACTTTCTTGTCTATGTTTTGTCAAGACTTCATCGTCAATGTTTTGTCAAGACTTCATCGTCAATGTTTTGTCAAGTTCTTCTTCATCTAATTTCTCATGAACTTTCTTGTCTATGTTTTGTCAAGACTTCATCGTCTATGTTTTGTCATGATTTCATCGTATATGTTTTGTCAAAACTTCATCGTCAATGTTTTGTCAAGTTCTTCTTCATCTAATTTCTCATGAACTTTCTTGTCTATGTTTTGTCAAGACTTCATCGTCAATGTTTTGTCAAGACTTCATCGTCAATGTTTTGTCAAGTTCTTCTTCATCTAATTTCTCATGAACTTTCTTGTCTATGTTTTGTCATGATTTCATCGTATATGTTTTGTCAAAACTTCATCGTCAATGTTTTGTCAAGACTTCATCGTATATGTTTTGTCAAGACTTCATCGTCAATGTTTTGTCAAGACTTCATCGTCAATGTTTTGTCATGACTTCATCGTCAATGTTTTGTCATGACTTCATCGTATATGTTTTGTCAAGACTTCTTCGTCAATGTTTTGTCAAGACTTCATCGTCAATGTTTTGTCAAGTTCTTCTTCATCTAATTTCTCATGAACTTTCTTGTCTATGTTTTGTCAAGACTTCATCGTCAATGTTTTGTCAAAACTTCATCGTCAATGTTTTGTCAAGTTCTTCTTCATCTAATTTCTCATGAACTTTCTTGTCAATGTTTTGTCAAGTTCTTCTTCATCTAATTTCTCATGAACTTTCTTGTCTATGTTTTGTCAAGACTTCATCGTCAATGTTTTGTCAAGACTTCATCGTCAATGTTTTGTCAAGTTCTTCTTCATCTAATTTCTCATGAACTTTCTTGTCTATGTTTTGTCAAGACTTCATCGTCTATGTTTTGTCATGATTTCATCGTATATGTTTTGTCAAAACTTCATCGTCAATGTTTTGTCAAGTTCTTCTTCATCTAATTTCTCATGAACTTTCTTGTCTATGTTTTGTCAAGACTTCATCGTCAATGTTTTGTCAAGACTTCATCGTCAATGTTTTGTCAAGTTCTTCTTCATCTAATTTCTCATGAACTTTCTTGTCTATGTTTTGTCATGATTTCATCGTATATGTTTTGTCAAAACTTCATCGTCAATGTTTTGTCAAGACTTCATCGTATATGTTTTGTCAAGACTTCATCGTATATGTTTTGTCATGATTTCATCGTATATGTTTTGTCAAAACTTCATCGTCAATGTTTTGTCAAGTTCTTCTTCATCTAATTTCTCATGAACTTTCTTGTCTATGTTTTGTCAAGACTTCATCGTCAATGTTTTGTCAAAACTTCATCGTCAATGTTTTGTCAAGTTCTTCTTCATCTAATTTCTCATGAACTTTCTTGTCTATGTTTTGTCAAGACTTCATCGTCAATGTTTTGTCAAGACTTCATCGTCAATGTTTTGTCAAGTTCTTCTTCATCTAATTTCTCATGAACTTTCTTGTCTATGTTTTGTCATGATTTCATCGTATATGTTTTGTCAAAACTTCATCGTCAATGTTTTGTCAAGACTTCATCGTATATGTTTTGTCAAGACTTCATCGTCTATGTTTTGTCATGATTTCATCGTATATGTTTTGTCAAGACTTCTTCGTCAATGTTTTGTCAAGACTTCATCGTCAATGTTTTGTCAAGTTCTTCTTCATCTAATTTCTCATGAACTTTCTTGTCTATGTTTTGTCAAGACTTCTTCGTCAATGTTTTGTCATGATTTCATCGTATATGTTTTGTCAAAACTTCATCGTCAATGTTTTGTCATGACTTCATCGTCAATGTTTTGTCATGACTTCATCGTCAATGTTTTGTCATGACTTCATCGTCAATGTTTTGTCATGACTTCATCGTCAATGTTTTGTCAAGACTTCATCTAATTTCTCATGAACTTTCTTGTCTATGTTTTGTCAAGACTTCTTCGTCAATGTTTTGTCATGATTTCATCGTATATGTTTTGTCAAAACTTCATCGTCAATGTTTTGTCATGACTTCATCGTAAAGACTTTGTCATGACTTCATCGTATATGTTTTGTCATGACTTCATCGTATATGTTTTGTCAAGACTTCTTCGTCAATGTTTTGTCAAGACTTCTTCGTCAATGTTTTGTCATGACTTCTTCGTCAATGTTTTGTCATGACTTCATCGTCAATGTTTTGTCAAGACTTCATCGTCAATGTTTTGTCAAGACTTCATCGTCAATGTTTTGTCAAGACTTCATCTAATTTCTCATGAACTTTCTTGTCTATGTTTTGTCAAGACTTCTTCGTCAATGTTTTGTCATGATTTCATCGTATATGTTTTGTCAAAACTTCATCGTCAATGTTTTGTCATGACTTCATCGTAAAGACTTTGTCATGACTTCATCGTATATGTTTTGTCATGACTTCATCGTATATGTTTTGTCAAGACTTCTTCGTCAATGTTTTGTCAAGACTTCTTCGTCAATGTTTTGTCATGACTTCTTCGTCAATGTTTTGTCATGACTTCATCGTCAATGTTTTGTCAAGACTTCATCGTCAATGTTTTGTCAAGACTTCATCGTCAATGTTTTGTCAAGACTTCATCTAATTTCTCATGAACTTTCTTGTCTATGTTTTGTCATGACTTCATCGTATATGTTTTGTCAAGACTTCATCGTCAATGTTTTGTCATGATTTCATCGTATATGTTTTGTCATGATTTCATCGTATATGTTTTGTCAAGACTTCATCTAATTTCTCATGAACTTTCTTGTCTATGTTTTGTCATGACTTCATCGTCAATGTTTTGTCAAAACTTCATCTAATTTCTCATGAACTTTCTTGTCTATGTTTTGTCAAGACTTCATCGTCTATGTTTTGTCAAAATGTCATGTTGTCACCATTTTCAAAAAGATGTTAGTTGACCGAGTGACCGAGTGACCTGGTGACCTGGTTCCACCTAAAAACCATCTACCCTAAAATATATTTTTGCCGAATTCAGCAACAAAATTCAAGAGGTCAGGATGTATGTAAATACATTTGAATTCATTCATAACACCCTTTGTAAGCTCATAAAATGCTTGTTTTGAGGTCGAGCCACTTTTGGCTCCACCGTATTTTTTTCAACCAAAACTCAAGAATTTCCTGCATGAACTTTGTATAAAAACCAACCGTCGGAATTCTGGCGATTGGTATATTCTTTATTTTTTCTATCTTGTATAAAAGATATGATTTCAGGGATTTTTTTGACGAAGAGTAAAAGTTCACTTCGTCACTCATAACAGTTATATAATGAAATTTGGTCATTTTTTTCATGTCAGAAGACTCGAAGGTGCAACACTTCCAAAATACCGACGAACTCAGAAGAGCAGCATGGCAGTATGTTCTTGACAACTTCTTTGAGTTCTCCAGGTACACCTTGGAAAATGCTGAAGAACTCCGACACAGAGAATTTGGAGAAATTGCAGTCCAATACTACCTTGAAAAACAAAGGGTAAAATAAGACTAAAAACTTAACGTTTAAAAAGTGACATTTTTAATGAGCTCCGAGTCACCGAGAAAACTTGGTCAGATGTTAGCAGCTTACTTCCCTGAGGAGGATGGAAGCGTTACATACGTAAGGTTCAAAAACACGAACCTGGAATTGCGTACCAAATTCGCAATTCCATGACCATGGAAGAGTACGAAAGGTTCCTACAAGAGAAACCAGCTCTAAACAACTCAGAAAAGAAAGAATAAAAAGTTTAACTCGTAATTGTTTATTTTTTTACTTGTATGGGCAAGCTGCAAGTATGAAGTCGACTATCTCAGTCTTTGTCTTGACGAGCTGGACGGCTCTTGCGAGTACGTCTGTTTTGCGGTCTCCAGCTGGTGTCTGACCTTCGTAATTGCGCATGTTCTTGAGAGCTCCAACTGTAAATGGTTGTAGGATGAAGAGTCTCTCAGACTGCTTGAGGTAGTCGTCTCTGTCTTTGACCGAATCTGTGGTACGAGTCGAATCGGTCGATTTGAGGGAAGAGACTGAAAGCCTGTCGTCTTCCATTGGAGCTGTAGCATACTCTTTGCGTAAGCGGTTCAGACCTTCTTCGAAGTCTTGGTCTCTCTTGGACTGAGATTGGAATTGCTGGGGTGGAGCTTGCTGGAACATCCAAGGGTTGGGGAAGTAAGGCATAGGCTGAGGAGGGTAGTTCGGGAAGCCTTGTGGTGGGTAGTAACCTTGAGGTGGAAATTGGTAGTAATTTGGTGGAAGTACTTGCTGGAACTGAGGTTGCTGTGGTTGCTGAGGTGCAGGGGCTGGTGCTTTAGGTTCTTCTGGCTTTGGAAGGCATTCAGGAAGAGGAACGTCAGTCATCCGTTTGTGTCCTGTCGGATGGAAGAACTTTTTCTGTCGGAAGGAAAAACTTTTTCTGTCGGATGGAAGAACTTTTTCTGTCGGAAGGAAGGAATTTTTCTGAAGTTCGACCAAAAAGTTCTCAATTTTCGAAAATTTGAATGGTTTACGGACGGACAACTGGAAGAGTTCTTCCTGTCGGATGGAAGAACTTTTTCTGTCGGAAGGAAGAACTTGGAATGCAAGAAAGACTTGACGAGGCAATTTACCTAATTGAAATTAACGACTGCGTAAAAGACTACTTGCGCAAGGTCATGAAGCCCAAGGTCAAGTTCACCAGTATTTCTGGAAGGTCTACACTTCAGCTCGAGACTTCGACTGGAATTCCAATTCAAATACCAGACGGGACAGCCTACGATGGCATAAAGGACGCCAAAGAGAAGCTCTTGTTAAGTTCCTAAACAAACGTCCTTGGATAAAAATACCAAACAAGGAGAACCCCCTACCCCATATGAAATTGGCAATTCAGTCTCTCCTTCACTTCTCGGGTCAGCCGTTCTACATAACCTGTGAAGGCGACATTCAGCCAGTTCAGTAAACATCTCATTTTAACTTCACTTTTTTTATGTTTTTACGCATGTGAAGAAGAAGCCTTCTGGTAAGTTTCTTATAGCCATATACATGGCACGCTTTGAGTAAAAACATTTTTTTCATTTTTGAATGAAGCAAGTTAAATTCGTCCCACACCAAACTCAATGGACCGATGAAGAGTTTCAAGCTATGGTTGAAGGTGTTGAGAACGACATAGACGGCGAACTTGAAGGAGCTCAAATCACAATTGCAACCAAAATTGCAGAAGTCAAGGAACAGATAGCTCCACTTAAAGCTACCAAAGCTACTCTTGACCTCATGGATAGTTACCGTTTAGATGTCAAGAGTGGAATAAGACAATTAAAATTAAAACTTCTAAACTATGAAGCTATACTCCAAAAGTTAGCAGAAATGAGAAGACTTTACCAGAGCTACTTACATGTAAGGGACTTACCTTCAAGCAGTCCGACCAAAGATGAATTTGTTGACATTGTCCCAATTTTGTCCGAAAGTCAGCTCAGATGTTTCGAACTGCTCCCAACATATCCAGAATATGAACGTTTGCCTGAACTCTTCCGCAATCTCAAAAAACGTTTTTTGGTTCTCATGTTCGAAACTTTTATCGGAAGAGACAACAAACGTTCAGAAGAAGAACAAGATATTATTTTAAACTTGTTGTATGACTTTTCCAACTGTATAGTTCCTTCCCGGGAACTCACCATCTTCGTTTGGAATTCCAGTCGGAATATATTGGACAAACCTCATGTATGCAGCGTTAAGGTCGACATAGTATATTTTTTCATCTGAGTCGAACTTGTCGCAACCTATTGGTCCAGTTTGTGGAAATTCAAGTGAGTCTCTTATCTTCTGAGAAACTTCTCCTGTTATCTCATAAACATCGTCGAAGCAACCTGTTTCATATAAAACCTTCTGACCTAACTCAGATACTCTCCAATACAATTTGACGTCAATTGGATGTCTCAATGGAAGTTTGTTTATAGCATCTTGAAGTTCTTGCAACCTCATTGGAAGTTCTTCTGGTTCAGGTTGGTATCCGAACATACCAACCCCTTGTGGAACTGTGTACTTCTTTTGTACTAGAACTTTGTCTGGAACAACTTTTGGTCTTGCTAACAATGAAAAGTTTGTTTCGTCTTTTGGTACAAAAGTTTCTGTCAGCTTGTCATCTGGAATTGGTTCCAACAAACCTTTCTCGAAAAGAATGTTTACAGCTCTGACAATGTTGCACTTACTTTTACCAAAGAATGGGTTTGTAAGACTTTCGTTCAACATGAAGTGGTTGTGGACAATTACAATCTTCAACCATGGTAAGTCTTTGTCAACAACCCATACCAGCTAATGAAGGTTGACTTGGTTTAGTTTGGAAACTAAACTTTGGTTTTGGTTTATAGGACCTCTCTCATATTCTATCTTGTCATATCTAAACTCATAGTCATGTATGTCCTCTAACCATCTCATAACGGTTTCCAAACCACTTTTATCGGATGTAAAGTAAAAACATGGATGGTTATGTAAAACGTCTAAAGTTTCTAAAGAGTCTCTCAAAGTATACTTCCTTGGAACGCCCGTAACTTTTCCTGTAGCGACGATAGACCCTTACTTGTCCGGACAAAGTTATACTATTTTGAGTGCTCTACAAAAAAAGTCAACAGCGACGACTCTCAAAAATTTTTATGGGCTAGAAGGGGCGCAGCCCCTGGAAAGCCCCACAGTACCAAAAAAACTTCATTTATACTAAACATCTTCGGGGCTAGAGGGCACGAAGTGCCAGGAAGCCCCACTTCCTTTTTTTTTTTTTTTTTTTTTTTTTCTACAAACTTTGAAACATAATTTACATTCTTTTTTCAATTATTTTTGGAGAATGTTTCGATGGAATGGTGATTCTGATATCTCAAACATCACACCAAGATCGATTCACAATCCTGCATATGGATTCTTTTATGATAAGAAATCTACAAATAGAAATCTTTCAGTCGCAGATTCAGAAGGAATTTCTCAATTCCAAATTTCTCTTGTAGATCATAAAAATGAAACTATGAACGTCGAGTATAATCCTTTAGATGTATTTCTAAACGCAAAACGGCTTAATACTTCAAAAAATTCCTCCACCACCAATTCCACCAAAGCGGCAAAACTTGAGATCGGGATATACATTATACATGAGAGAAGTTAGGCCGATAGTTCATGAAAGAAATCCTGACATTCCTTTTGGTACAACAACAAAATGGTTGCAAAAAGTTGGAATGAGTTAACACCAGCAGAACAAGAGGAATACAACATAAGAGCACAAAACATGCCAGATTTACAAGAAGATTATCACAATGAAATGGAACAACAAAACGAATTTTATGGAATCAGACAACAGATACCTCCGCTTAATCAGGATAACCAAGGACACTCTCTTTACGATATTAATCATTTTCAAAATTAGTTCGCAAAAAAATTATTATTCAATTCGAATTTTATTTAATTAATTCTATATCACTCCGTCCTCTCAACAAATGCATGCATCCTTTCTATTCTTATTTAGATATTTTCAGAACAAAATTTAATTTTTCACATATTTTGCATTCCAAGCCAACTGTCCTGTTCCTACTTAATGAACAAGATGTTTATTATTTGAATAGTTTCAAATTTGTTTGACTTTTTCGATATTTATTTGTTTGATATTATTTTTACCTAAAAATAAAAATTTATAGTTTTTAACAAATAGAATGTACCTATGATAAGACATTGGGAAGGGCAGGCTCTTCCATATTCATCATCATTTTTATTCCGGAATTTCAACTTGAATTTTTCATTTAAAATAGGCTTCGATATGAAAGGCCTGTCTTATAGTTGGCCTTCAGGCAAAATAATTGCTTTGAATAGATTCTGAAATCTGGAAAATAGTCATAAAAATGACTGTAAAGAATAAAATTATATGTATCATCTTATTCTGAGATAAGAATTTCATAAAATAAATGATGTAAACTGTATCTCACAAATATCTGAAATTGACTAAAGACGTTTAAAATCAGAAATCAAATAAATAAAACCAAATAACCGAGTTTTGTTTTGAGAACAAATTAATCCTCTAAAATGAATCTTATTTCCGATGAAATTTGCATTTTCCAAAAATTTCGCATAAATTTCATTGGAATTGAACAATAACCCATTCGGCATTAAAAATCTTGAGGTAAGTTCTATCAGAAAGCAAAAGTAAACTGTGAAATCCCAACAACAAAACTATATGTTTATTGACAATAATTTAGTGAAATAGTATAATTCATAGATGACATACGAAATATATACAACTAATCGAGCTCACTCTGGAAACATTGACTCGAGTCCAAAACCCTTTACATCTTTTTCAGTCCATAATTGCTCGATCAAGTCTTCAGCCATATCCTTTGCCGGCTCGTGCTCTATTTTAGGTGGATCTGGCAGTTTTTTAGGTTTCTCCATGGATATTTTCTTTTTCCGCATGATGTGAACGTTATATCTATTCTTGAGTGAATTGGGAGATCTTCCTTTAAAGAATGAAGAAATTTCTACCCATTTAGGTCCGAATTGCTGGACTTTTAATATGATTTCTCGGTCTTCATCTGGTGAAAAATCATCGTGGCGAATACCAGGTGCCAAATATGCTAGAATATCTTTCGCGGCACTGCCTACTTGTTTTAGATAAGCAGTACTTTGATATTACTTTCCAGTTTTCTGTTCCGAAAACATCAACTAAAAATCTCAAAAGATTATCTTCTTGAGTGGTGAAACGTTTTTTTTTGTGATTGATTCTTCCAATGTTAGCTTGTTACACTGCCCAAGCAGATTGTTATATTCATTGATTCTATCATGAGGAATCATGGAATATTATTGAATTTCTTATTTCTTGATGTTTACGTAATTCAATTTTTGAGAATAGTTTTGAATTTTGTTCGAGATAATCGTTTTGATGTGGGTTTCCATTTTCAATGAATCATAAACAGCCACGAGAAAGAGATTATTGCATAGTGGTTGAAAGTATTTCAAAAATAAATTGGATTTGAGAGGATGACCTCACACATTCATTATAAAATTTGCAAGCCAAATTATCGTTGAAAATAGTTTACGATGCCTTCCTATAAGTTTTCGTATTTTCATACAAGAATTTTGAAAGGAAAAGTAATTTTTTCTTAATTTATCCATGATATGTATGTTCTATAATGATTGCCTTTCAATAATATTTCATAAATTAATTAATGATGAAATCATAAAAGTGACAACGATAGATCAACTATACCTGGATTAGTGATAGTATTTCTATTTATCTATTATCTTTAATTTTTGAGAACTTATTCAATTCATAAGACCAAAAAATGTTGTATAAAAATTAATATATTAAAAATTAATAGATCAAATTAAATTTCAATTAAAATCTGAATTATTTCAAAATTCAAAATCGAAATTTATCAAATGGTCAATGAAATTGAATTTGAATTTCGAATACCACCACAAATAATCGAGAATCTCCTGATTGGATATCTTAAAATCGCAATTTTCAAAATAATCTTTATTAAGGGTTCACTATTTTCCCGAATAAATCATCAAATTGTATTAGCTGTCGCCTATAATAGACCGCTCGGGTTATTAAATCCCAAAAATGCATATTGAGATTTTTCAGATTCAAAAATCGGTAAAAAAGGGGGTTGGCGTCCTAAGGCGTCCTGATGTAAATTTCTCAAAATTGTGATATTTACATCACATTTTTGAGAGGTTTATGGGCGTCCTAAGGGAAAATTGAATAGCTAGGGCGTCCCGAATTTTCATTCTAAGATTTAAATATATTATATACTTAAGTATAATACAAGCAATATAAAAATTAAATTTTTATTATGTTAACTTATAAGAAATTTTTTTGAATTATCGTTGATTTATTGTAATCTTTCCAGGCTATACTTTTGAAATCAACTTTACCTGTCATACGCATTAATGTAGTAGATGTCCAGGTGTAGCTATTATATCCCAGCAACATTGGTATTTTATCATTGTAAGATATCAAAATGAAGCGTTTTTTCAGATATAATTTTTCGTAAATTTTTCAAAAATAAGATGGTAAAAAAGCCTCGACTTGCTCGAAAAATAACAATTTTTTTACTTGTCAAAATAACCCTTTTACAGCATGGGCAGCTATTCAATCACGATTTCTTTTTCTAAAAGTATATTTTTCAAAAAAAATTAAGATCAAATTCGACAATTTCTTGATGAAAGCAAAAATATTACACATACTTCTAGATGCATGGGATAAAATATGCAATTATTCAATCAATTCGCATGATTTGAAAAAAAAATCTAAATTTGAAAAGGTGACCAAACTATTTTTTGAAAGTCCGCCATAACTTTAAGGTACTATTTCAGCGTGTACAATGAATACAAAAATTCTAAGAGTGCCACATAAAATAGTACTTTAGACTTGAGTTAATGCTACCAAGCAAATGTTAAAAAGATGACTTTAGTGTTTTGATAATCAAAGATTAAAATCATTATTGTCTAAATCAATAATCATAACGACAGAAGTTAATGTTTTTTCATAAGTGCTTTAAATCCACTTTTAAAAGTATACCTCAAAAATCAAAATATCAAAAAAAATTGGCCGATAGGTTTGGCTTTAATTTTTGTCTGCTTTTATGATTTGATATGGATGTTATAATTTTAAAAGTTGAGCCAAATTCACCAATAGATTTTTGAGATTTGCAAATACTCAATAATTTTCAGCGTGTTATCTTTTATTAAAAGAACTATTTGGTTTCAGTATCATATAAATTGATATTTACTTTCTATTTGAACCTTCATTTAGCTAATGATTTAATAATACAGATTTCATCTAGTCCTTATAAGAGAATTTTGAATTTGTTATAATAAAAAACAAACAGATATAGCTTACACTTCTAATAACATGCTATTAATTTTCTTAAAATTAAAAAAAAATATCAACTTTTAAAAACAGAAACTTAACATCCTTAGGTCAATGGATTTTGATGTGAGATACATTTAATCTGTTTTTCTTTTTTTATTTTAAATAATTGAATATTTATAGTTGTTATGGGTCTTACATCATGTAAAACGAATTTTCTTAAAGTAAATTTACTTTTTCTTCAATCTTTCTTACATATTTATTAAAAAAAAATTATCCAAAAAAAGATGTTTTAGAATGAAAAAAAATAGAAAAATCTTCATTTATAGTCTTTCTTGAATGTATACGTTTTGATTTTTTTCTTTTTTAAAAATTCAATTTCTAGAAAAATCGAGAAAAAATCATTTTCTTCTATTTTTTAGGACGCCATACCCATTGAAATCTCCTCTCAGGACGCCATAAACTATTCAATTATGGTGTAAACTTCTCAAAAATTGAATAGTTTACATCAGGACGCCTTAGGACGCCAACCCTTTACGCGCCCCAAAAATCTAGCTTCTGTTTCAATTTCATGATTTCAAATAATTAAGGCAGATATGTCTGTATTATAATCATATCATTTGATTGAAAAAATTAGCAAATTTGCATTTCTAAAAATTTCTTCGTAATTTGCATCAAAATTGAGAAAAATATATCCTTCGTGTACATCAATTTTGGACATGTAATTCATTTCAAATAAGATCAAAAATCAATCTGAAACTTCTTCTTTCTCAGTTCGAACGATCTGTTTTTAATTTATTAGGAACGAACAATAATTTTAATACTCTCAAACCCAAAACTGTGAAGAATGGCATAGCGTGGCAGTTTTTTTTTTCAACTCTACAAGAAAATGAACTATCCTCAAAAGAATCAGCAAATTCAAGGAAATATGCAATACGATCCTAAAAATAGGATGTATGCTTCTCAACAAATGTATTTAGATATGCATACTGCGCAAATTCCATATCAAAATTCATATAAAAGCCCTCACAGCAGTAAAGTAGCAATTTTGCAAACACCTCAGATGATGATGACTCCACAACAACAATTAAATCAAAACCTCGTCAATCAAATTCCATTTCAAACTTTAAATGCTCAGCAGCAAGCCTATATATCACAAGCTATCCTCAGCCAACAGTCTATGATGCAAGCAAATCCATTAACTTCTCAAACACCCCCACAATTAATTCCTCAACAAAATTTGGCCGCACAGCAATCAACATTATTAGCAATTCAACCACAATATCAAACGACAAGAGGATATGATCATACAAAACGACTTACCGATTCAGCAAAGCAAAAATTGATAAAACAGAAATCCCACAACAAGTAATAAACATCCAGACACCGATGACACCTAAAAGTACTCCACTAGATTCTTCACCGAAAAATTCCGATGAACCAAAAACAAGTGCAAAACAAAATTTAATGTTTTTCACTCCTTCACCTCCTACTGGCTGCTTTACAATAGTTCGTCGTGGAAATCTACCAGAGATTCGTTTTGAATACCAAGGCCTCTGATTTCCATATGTTATTCCAAAATTTTTATTCATAAATTGTCTTAATTTGTTTTTTAAAATTTAAAAAGATTATGTTTTTACTCAATTCTATTTTTATGTATTGGTTTTACATCTTACTTTGGAATTCAACAATTCTTTTAACAGCATCTTCGATCTTTTCATCAAATTTAATGTTCTGAAGAGCGAATTTCATTGATTTGGCGAAATATTCAGCTTCACGTGCTGGGAAGTGCGATGGCATGAAGTTGTATCTGTATTTAAGGAATCTTCCGGCTTCGCTCTCAACTGTATGAGAAAAGATCGTAGCTTGTGGGGAATAAGGATTTTCAAACATTTCTGTATGGATTGTAACGTTTGAAATTGGTCTCTTGAATTTCAATTTTCCGATATGAGACAAAGCGAGGAAAGAATAGTTTCCTTGCTTAGCCCATCCCTTGAATCCCTTTATCTCCTCCTGATTTGTTGTTTGTGTGAGTCTAAGACCAGGAGTATGGAACTTTCTTTCGAAATTCTCGCGCATTCTTGCAGCGAGGTCTCCAACCTTCTCTGATGGCTTCGCATCGGCTACAACATCGATATTTGACATCTGAAGTGGGTGTGATGGATCAAATTTGTCGGATTTGCGGAGATTAACGCAAGTCATGAGTCCCAATTTATCGTATTCGCCATTCATTGCAACAGCAGCAAGCATTTCGGATGTCCAAAGGGATTCTGTTAATTTGGAAACTTTTTGGGTTCTTTTATTGTAGCAGGAAAGTTTTTCGAAAGGAATCATCTTCTGGATGAATTGGTTTGGTCTGTGATGTGGTTCATCTTCCTTGAAATGATGGTTAAGATGAGATAAATCTGTAACATTTGTTTCTGGGAGTGGACGGTTCTTTATTTCTTCTTCAAAGAGGCTTTCTTGGCTGTAGAACTTTGTAACAGGTTCTTTTGGAATGCTGCCGTTCTGTAATGCCTCAACTAATTGAATAATAAACATTCCATCGGTGACTGAATGTGATGCGTCGACAACAATCTTGTTATCGCTTACAAACATTGTCGCAAGAGCTTCTGTATACGGTGTTCTGTTCTTAGAAGCATATGTTGTTGCTAATTCAAGTGAATTATCAGCGAACTTTGGGATTCTTTTGATTGTAATAGGATCTTTGTTTTCAGCAATCTCATCCTTTCCAACTAATTTTGTGTGAAGGCCAGCAAAGGAACGATCGACCATTCTAATATAGTCTTTTACAACAGATTTATCAGAGAATTCAAGACCAAACTGTACATGACAGTCAAATGGAATCAAACATCCTTCTAAGAATCTTAATTTTCTGTAGGGTTGAATCATTTTTGAAAAATGATGTCAAAAAATGTTGATAAGCAATTCATCAAACTCATCGGATGGATAAATCGCATATTTTGGAATAATCCCAATGCACTAAATGACTCTCAGTCAATTCTATATAAATTGACTGCGGATATCGAATCCAAAATTTATGTTCTCAGAATTCAAAACCTACTTAGTGTACTAATATTATAAAAATATTGTGTATAATTCATATACTTCATAACAAACAATAAATGACACTTTATAATTACAAACACATAAAAATCTATATAAAATAGCATGATTAACGAGGTTTTCTTCCACGCGCACGTGAAAATGTTTCTTCTGGATAGTTCTGTTTGGCGATCTCTCTTAGATCTATCCATGTATTGATAGGAATTTTCTTTGGCGGCAAAGGCTCTGCTGGAGGAAGGAGAGGAAGAAGTTTCTGGGCTTCTTCCTGCACAATATCACACCAGTGTTCTTCTGCAGCTGCTTCAACTAGGTATCTTATTTCCTGAATATTATTGTTTCCTATAAAAGGTATTGTCTTTTTAATAAACTTAAGGCTCTCTATCGCAACTGGCATGTAAATAGAACTTGCTCTACTTGAATATTTCTGCCAGACATCAAAATCTACTGGTGGACCGATTTTGCATATCTTCTTAGCTTCTTTCATGAATAAAGCACATTTAGGAGGGTCTTCAACAGGCCAATGATTCAATAAAAACGTCTCATTTCGATCGCGTAATTTTCATTTCTTTTGAATAAAGATTTAAGGACATTTATAAGTGGATCAAAGAATGTTGCATAGTGTGATGCAAAATGTATGAGTTTTATTGCTGTGAACAATGGGTTTGTCGGTAATTTTGGATCATTTTGCGGAAATCCATCTAAAATCTTTGTGATCGTTTCAAGTATGACAATCATCCCATGAACTGGAGGTGGGACTAACATGGATGTTATGTTAGATAAAATTATTGGAAAATATAAATTTGAATCGAGAGAAATAAGCATATCTCGTGCAGTTTCTCTGTCGCTAACAGATGCCGATGATAGCCGTCGTACTAACGCTTTAATTAGTCGTGGCGGAATTATTTTTGGAAAAACCGGTATTAACTTCTGAAGTATTCCATAAGCATATGATATATCAGTTGTATGTCTTTTTGCTGGAAAAACGATGATTTTGTAATAAACAGATGGTTCAGCGTAAGGAGGTGGTGCTTCCATAACGAATGCTAATCCTTGATAGAAAAGATCAATAGAAGCAGTACTAAATCTCAATAAGCTCTGTGTAACGAATGGATATAATGCATTTAGAACGAGCGCTCTCTTTTCATGATCTTGGTTGTCTGTTAACATCAGCCTTTTTAGTAAAAGGACTAAATTCTCGCTTGTTGGTGATATAGCTCGCTTAGATCCCTGAGATTTTGGTAACGTTGGAAGATTATCTGTACTTTTTTTGGAAACGTCTGTTTGCTTTGTTATATAATCTGCCTTTATCTGAATCGGCATATTAGAGTAGCTATGCGATGCAGTGAGGGTGTGTGGACCATGCCGTGGCCCTCTAGGAGTACCAACGGTATTCACACTCATCGTAAAAATTTCAAAAACTTTATTTAGAATTTCTAAACATCCTTGAGCAATTTTCAATATTTGGGTGTTTAATTATATGTCAAGTTTAGAGCCTATATTACTCAAGATATATCAATTTTTCTCTCCATTTGGAATATAAGGAAGAAAAAAATTAAAACCTTTAGCCGAAATAGGGTAGATTATGTTTTTCAGTAGGTTTCATCATTGATACTTCATTCTCCAGTAAGTCAAATAGAAAAGTATTACATGAATTGCTCAATAAGCATAAAAGAATATATATTTCGTTTTCAAATCCGTGTAAATACACTGTAATTCACTATGTAAATAGTTGTGCGCTGTTAATTTACTCCTATTTATTGTTTACACATTTTTCATATATTTGCCAATTCAAATTTTAGAGATATGTCATTCTAATTTTTGGTAAAGGTACATTCACTAGGCGATAACAGTAAAATGGGATGAAAATAGGATAAATAGCATCCCTATATAGTGCCTAACAATATTTATACGGGCCAAAAAAAATTTGGCTAGAGATTTGGCGAGTTATAAAACTTAGAAAATTGAGAGGGATTTTTATTTTTGAATTTTTTTTGGAAAGTTAAAATTGCGATTAAAAATCGATTTCCGAGAGAACTAAGCATCTCATCATATATTTAAATCGATAAAAATATTAAATAATAGTTGAATAGTATAACTACATGAAATTATGGCTGAATATACAGAAAAAATGAACATATTTGACATTTTTGAAAATTCATACGTTAGATGGTGACAAACTCATAAACTATACTTTAGCTAAGATTGATATATGGTTTCAACAACACATGGTTAAAATCGTAAAAATATTTTAGATTTCAAAAAGATATATATGGTAATATAATGGAACAGAGTCAACAAATAGCATGTAAAATATGTTATAATTAACTTTTTATTAGATCTAATAGTATATATCGAATGGTTTCCAGCTTTATGGTTAATTATTTTCTTTTCGAGCTTCTCTTTAACTGTTGTATTAAGGTTGTAAATTTTTGATGCTAGAAACTATGGAATCTTCTTTGCTGCTGCATTTTTCTTGAGAGTTCTTGCAATTTCGAATATATCTGCGCATTGTATGAAATGGGGGCTTTAAAATATCTTGAATCATAATAGGACTGCTTTTCCAAAGGAATGCTTATTTGTAAATCAGAGAGTTTCAAAATTGAGTGCAAGATTATCATAATTAATTTTGTAGCGTTTTTTAGAAAAATGCGAAGGGAGCGCCAGCGACCGAACATTTTTCTAAATATGCTACAAAATTATCATTCTCAATTGAATGATGAATCGAAAGAATTTTGTAGCGTATGATTATTTTCCCTTGAAAAATAAATTAAAAATTTTTTTTAATCATACTGTTTAATGAGCATCCTAATTTACTAAAAATAAAAAGACGATAGAAAATATTCAAAAAACTTGATGGCTTTAGATAGTCTTTTCGAGGAGTAACTTTTTCAGTGAATCGTCGAACGCTATCCACTCTCATAACATGTCCTCTTAATGTCCAAGGATATGCAACTTTTATCCCCATATTCATTGATCTTCCAAAATTTCAATATCAAATTAGGCTTCAAAGTTCCTAAAACTTTAGCCATGAATAGGATGTCAATCTTAAAGTCATTTCCTACCTCCTTCATACATGAAATTAAGAATAAAAGTTAATTTTTTAAAGTTTTTTAGTGATAATTTTTCAATGGAAAATAATCATATGCTACAAAATTTTCGATTACTGATCGGGTGAGAATTTTGATTTTGGTGCAAAAAGGAAGACAAGCTATTAACAAATCATTTACTGTTGTTCATCAAAAGAAGAAAACTTTGATAACAACTAATGATGATAAAATCAAGCTATCTTTTAATATTTTAAATTGATAAGACATTCAAAATATTTGAATGGTTTAAAATATTTTCTTTTAATTTCTATAAGATATTATCATGATTATATAATAAAATTTAAATTTTTATTCAAAAAGGCAATATTTCAAACTTTTAATTTCAAAAATCTTAATTCTGCAATAAGTGTATTTAATTGTAGCAAATTTAATGATCCTTCGTCATGCTTAGCAATTTGGAACTCATAAATTAATGATTTCTTCAAGTAAAATTCTGCATTATTTCAAAAGTCAATAATTCTCTAGTAACTTTTCTTCAAACACTAACCATTATATTATATTATATGTATAATGGAGAATAATTGCAAAGAAAGATAGCCGAATTTACTGGGTAGTTCTTGTGATGCGAAATAATTGCAAATTAACACCTAGTTTTAACAGCATCAATTGTAATAAACAGAAATTCATCAAAAGTGACAGCTCTCAATTTTTTGACATTTGTAAATTCTAAATTGAATGAGAAAAATGAAATAATACTAAGCATAATACAATATTCTAGATTTAATTATAATTAGGAAAAAGTTAGTTTTGAGAGTACTTTTCATAGGCATATAGAATGAAATCTTCTGAAAAATAATATCACATAAACTCATATTATTTTCTAATATATAACTATTTTATATAAAAATCAAATTCAATGATCTTAAAAGCGAAGGATAAACCTCAAAATTTACGAATATAATGAGTGGGAATATAATGCTTATCTATCATAAAACCATATGAAATATCAATTTTTGCTTTACGCCTAATTTTTGACGACAATTAGCAAAAAATGTTAAATGTTAACACTCAGTCCATTTGAATATGAAAAATAAAATTGACTTTGATTAAATGTTTTTATTTATCATGCAATTCTTCTTGCGACCAAAGATTTGAATAAAATTTCAAAAAATAAGATAGCTTAAAAAATAATATACGGTAGTGTTTACTAATAGATGAATAGTATATAAATTCTATTAAAATGGATTTGATCCAAAAAAATATATAAAATTTGATCATAAATAAAATCGTTTTAAATTACTTCTTTATTTAAATTATAACAATTATTTTTGGTTTTATATTTTTTTGGATCAAATCCATTTTAATAGAATTTATATACTATTCATCTATTAGTAAACACTACCGTATATTATTTTTTAAGCTATCTTATTTTTTGAAATTTTATTCAAATCTTTGGTCGCAAGAAGAATTGCATGATAAATAAAAACATTTAATCAAAGTCAATTTTATTTTTCATATTCAAATGGACTGAGTGTTAACATTTAACATTTTTTGCTAATTGTCGTCAAAAATTAGGCGTAAAGCAAAAATTGATATTTCATATGGTTTTATGATAGATAAGCATTATATTCCCACTCATTATATTCGTAAATTTTGAGGTTTATCCTTCGCTTTTAAGATCATTGAATTTGATTTTTATATAAAATAGTTATATATTAGAAAATAATATGAGTTTATGTGATATTATTTTTCAGAAGATTTTGTGTTCTTCTTCAAAATTTTATTTTTTATTAAAAAGAATCTTTACAAAATATACATTTACTTTAATTAATATTTAAAAACGTGCTCTATCAAAAGTTCCAAAAATTCAATATTTTAGCTTTTCTGATGTGTCACTTTTGATGAATTTCTGTTTACAACACAATCTCTTTTTGCTCTCATTTAAATGCATTCGCACACTTTAATTTTGAAATATAAGAGTTTTGGAAATTATCAAATTTATCTGCTCAAATACTATAGATCTTCATAAGTGTTAATAGAATCATTAGCCTTACATATAGTGTTTAATATAATGATGCACATTATACTGGGATTCATTCCTTATTCATCTAGTTATTATAAGATTTACAACCCCATGAAAATTTAAAATTTTGTCAAAAATAGTGAATGTACCTTTTTTTGGTTTTGATGTTACCACATGTTTATGGTTCTACGAACATGAGCCTCTAATTCTTACATATTCTATCGTCTTATGACGCAAATTTACATCATCAAATATGGACGCTCCTGAAATTGCTTTCTTTAGCAGGAAACGCCCTACGAGTTCAAGTCAAAACTCGACAGAAACTGATGGTGTTAGTTCAGATAATGCTCCAAATGAAATGCAATTTGGCTCTCAATTAACAGCATTCCAATCAATGGAAAACACTGACGACGAAGTACTAGAAATTATAAAGTCTGTAGGTCCTTCTTCACGAGATATTTCACAGCTTAATTCAATGAACTCAGCAGAATCATGGGCATCTTTTGCATCTTTTGGCCCGCGCTGCCAGAGATGCGGCAACCCTTGTGGAAGTGATGTAATCTATTTCGAAAATCTTGCTTTTCATAAAAGACACTTTACTTGCAAGAAATGCAATCAGCCTCTGATCGAACCTGTATTAATTGGCAAAGAAGTTTACTGCTTAACTTGCTCTCATGGAGATAAACAACCTGATATGCCAGAAGATTACGGTTGCTGCATTTGTAGCAAACCTTTCTGCGAAACTTCAATTATTATTGCTGGAAAATGCTATTGCCAGGAACATTTCAGATGTGCTACATGCCACAAACAGTTAACAGTTGATAATTATCGTCAAAGAAAGGGTCATATTTACTGTATCGAACACGCACCTCAACGACCAATTACAAGTTGCGCAGAATGCGGTGGAGAAATTACTGATAAGGCTATTACCGCGATTGGACAGCATTTTCATCCAGGATGCTTCTGCTGTGTTATATGTCAGACAAACTTAGCTAATCAAGCTTTTGCGGCTTGGAAGAACAAACCTATTTGCCAAAACTGTTTCAAGAGACTTCCAAAACATATTCGTGCGATTATATCAAAACAGGTACACACTGGATTTTAAATTACAATAATATCTTGTTCGAATCTTATAAACACATGTTACTTTATCTCTATTTTTTATTTTTGTTTAATTTTTTGAAAATATTTTTTTTTTTAATCGATAATGAGCATAGGGGAATACGCATAAATAATTGCTTATTTGTTTTGCTTTCAATGGAAAATAATACCTTCTTCACAGCTGCATTTTGATATCATCATATTTTGATACGCACCAAGATTTGGTTAGTTTTCAGTAATTCTCTAAATGGAAAATTCTACATTAAATTTGGAAAAGGAATAATACCATATTCACATAGAAAATAGCTAGACATCGTATAAAATTTTCGGTCGTTTTTTATAATGATAACAGACAGAAACGAGGCTTTCAAGCACAACTCATGTAAAAAAGTTGCACAGTTGTCGAAAGTCATCGTTTCTATGCGCAATATATCAATGGATCATGCAGCCATGTTGTTATCAGTTGCAAACAGATATGAAAACACGATAACGCAAATTTTCATAGATCATCGTCAACAACTTGAAGATATAAACACTAGACTCTTCAACTTTCGAAAAGCAACAATAGATAACGAGTGCAGAAAGTTTGCGCAAAAATATAAAGCTGCGAAAACAGAATACAACGAATTGGTTACGTCCAGAGTGGAAACAGTCAACAATATATCAAAAGAAGCAAAGGATCTTACAGAAATAATTGCTCAATTACGAAAACAGAATTTCCAATCTGCAGACCCCGTTATCAATTCTGCAGACAAGTTCAAGGCAGAGTTCATGTCTACGAAGAAAAAACAAAAGCCGAAATCAAAAGCAGAGGTAAATTCAGCAGTTAATCCTCTCAAAGAAAAAATGAAGCAATTACAGGCCGAGCACGATGAGAAAATGACTAAAATGGCGAATGAACACAAGTCATTGGTTAAATCTTTGATGAGAGAAAAAAACGTACAATTATTCAACGAAATTATTAAACGTAGACCAGTCTTAGTTTCATTACTAACAAAGATAAAACGCGCTAAAGATGCAAATAATCAACTTTTTAGCGATCTAAGTAATTACAGAAACACAGAATCTCAATTAATCAGACAATACAGACAAAATTTTTCGGATTTTTTACAACAGTATACATCTAGCATTGCCAAAAATAATGCTCAGATACAAGCTATTCGTGGCAAAGCAGCAGCTTTAGTAAACACGTTTCAAGAAGAGTTAGTGAACGAAGGAAAAGTTCGTGCACAAAAACAAGCCCACATGAAGAATGAGATTGCATCCCTGATTTCACAAATCAACCAAATTAAATATAATAACGAACATCTTGTTGAAACGAAAATGGGCGATATAAGCAACCAGCAGATGCAGATAGCCGCCTCTCAAGCTGAATATAAGCAAGTTCTTGAAAAAGAAAGACAATATTTTGAATCATTAATTCAAGAATCGCACTCTAACATTGATAGCTTAGGAACATCAATACAAGTTGTTAAGGATAACTTTTCTGAATCATTAAAATCGATGTTTGCTTCAATTTATCAATCAAAAACATATCTTCAGAATCAAATTGGCTCTGAACTTCAAAATTTTGAGAAAAGACTCAAAGAACTCACAGTTAAATTTGATAAATACGAGACAGATCAGTTTTCCAATATCACAGGTGTCATTAATACTTCAAATGAAATTGGAAAGAACAAAACTCGATCAATTCAAACAGAAATAGAGAAATCCCAAGGTGACATCAGGCGTCTCAATCAAGCCAATCAAACAGAAATCAACCAAATTGAACAGAAAAACAAAACGAAAATTTCGGATTACGAAAAAGCAAATAATTGTAGATTGGATGGTCGAAATCCGAAATAAAGCAAGCAGAAACAAGAAAAGAGACAGAAAACAAGAAGAAAGCCGAACAAGTTTTATCCGGATTTAGAAAAGATTTGCAAGACAAAAAAACTAAATCAAAAGAAACATTTGATAAGCAATCAAGCGATAACCTCGCAAACCTAGCCAAAAGTACCGAGAAAAGTGGCGCTTTAATCGAACATGAAAAAGAAGTTGAAGAATTACAAAGAAAATTACAGGTCGCGGAAGAATTAATAAACAAGGCAAATATTGAGTCTCAGAACAAGTCATCGGCATTGAATGCTATGATATCAAACACTGAGAAACTCATCCGCCAGCACCAGAGATCAATTAAATCAGAAACAGAAGAAATTGGAAAAGAATATGATATTAAAATCCAATTTGAACAAGTTGAGCTCCAAAATAAGATCGAACAACTCTCAAAACTATTCGATGCTGAAGAAAACAAAAGAGCTTTCATGGTCATTGATCAAATTCGAAAAATTAGGAACGTACAGAACAGAACTCAAGATATGATTAACCAAAGAAAGAGATCATTAGAACAGATGAAGAACCAGAACGAACAGAAAGTCAAAAAAATGCAACAACAATTGGAATCTGCTAAAAACGGAGATAAGTTAACAAAATTACAAGAAGACTTTAAACAGAAACAAACTGAAATGGAAAAGAAAATTGCTGACGCAAATAAACAGTTAGAAGATGATAAAACCAAAATTTCGAATAATTTGACGAAAACAAAGAAAGAATTTGAAGATGAAAAGGTAAAAATAGAAAAGAAATACCAAGACGATGAAGCATCCTTCAAACGAGAGATAGAAGTTAATAAAAAGAATAATGATGATTTACAAGCCGATATCCAAAAGAAGAAACAAGAGATTATACAAAAGATTGAACAGCAGAAACAAAATCTTCTAGAAGAACACAAGAAATCCCTTTCTGCTATTCAAAGAAGAATTGAATCGGTGAAATCTTCTCTGACAGAACTTCAAAATCTTTGCAATGATGAATATGATAAGAAGAAGAATGTTTTAGACGACAATCTTTCTAAAAGATTAGTTAAAGATGACCAATATATCCAACAAATGCTCAACACATCAAATGAACGTAGCCAGCAATTGGATAATGATATAAAGAGACTCTGGGAATACAGGGGATCTTTGGTTGCTCAATTCCAAGACCCAGAAATGGCAAATGACGAAAAACAAAGAATTGCTGCTAAAAAGAAAGAATGTGAAGCAGCATTGCAAAAAGTGAATGAGGCACAAAGCCAGTTTATTGATGTAATAACTGGACTTGAAATGCATTCACAGTCATTAAATTCAATGTTGATTTCTCCTCGCACATCAATGAGATCACGCGGAAAAGCAAGAATTATGTCACCGCATATCTAACCATGTTATTTTTATTATTCTCATTATATATAAACTTTTTGTTTTTATTTTGATTATTAAATTACAAATAACCTTTATTGTTTACATCGACCTTGATTCAAAATATCAAGCAGGCTCACAATATTCATTTCCATCAATTCTGATTCCAAAGGTTATTTCATTGTCTTTTCGTAAGCAATGTCAAATCGATAAATGTCTAATGATTTTATGCATTGCATTGATCATAAGCATAAATATTAATTGCAAAAACGTTTTATTGCAAGACTATATTGAAAAAAATTATTATTTAATAGCTTTAATACACCCTGATTAATGATTTATAAGCGTCATATCCTTAAATTAAATAATCCACTTCAAATTGAGTTATCTGACATTTGACCTTATTCGATCAAATCTATCAATCTGAATCTGATTAATAATATGTGTCTTTTCAGATTGTATGCATTATGTAGCGTTCTGAAACAAAATTGTAATTCGAATTAATCAAACTAGATCTTAATTTTCAAAAGACAATAGAGTTCCGTTATTCAGCAATATGCAGTAGCATTGTACACTCTGCGTATTAATTAAATCTTGCAGTATTTAATTGAACACCTCCATAACAAATCGCGCAAATTTATTATGAATTAGCATAAAACACGTTATCATTAATTAATTTACCATTCTCCATATATGAGAATGATTTATCACTATTAAAACTTCGATGTTATTTATTTCAAAAGTTTACGAATAATCTCAAATCGCCCACTTGTCAATTCAATTTCGAATCGACTACCCGTCCCAGATTTTTCCCACAGTCCATGAACTGTATATATTAATATTTTTATAAAAAATAATTGAGCCAATTATCTTCTCACATTCAATTTTTTCAATGATTGTTATTAAATTTTCAAAATGCTTAGCCCTCAGCAATACAATCGGTATACCGAAATATTAAAGATCGTTCCCGATGATCCAGGAGAAGAAGTTAAGTTCTATACTAAGTTGATGAAGAACAATGAGCAATTTAAGAAAACAGATCGAGATTTTGAAACATGGAAGAACGATTATGTAGTTCCATGGAGCCCTCTATTCGATATTGCGATAGTTCTACTGTATGTGTTCTTTGCGCTAACGTTCCAGACTACAAAAATGGCCATGTTCCATAATTTTAATACGATATTCGATAATTACTTTATGGGAGATGCAGACGAAGATGACGATGGACTTACATATATCTATTTCAAGAGCGAATTTGTCGAAATCGTTAAAAATGTCTCTGAATTATTTTTCACATTTACTGACTCATTCCCAGCGCAATCAAATTTCACTCGTAGTTCTAATTTGACAGCAACCTTAATTGAAAAAGGTAAACAAAATTCAGTTTCATATTTCTGTCAGGAAAATGCATCTGAAGCTAGTGAGATTGCAAGTGCTGCAGTCCAAACTCTTAACTTTAAAGAACTATTACTTGAAGTTGATTACTTGATAGAAGAGTTTACAGAAAAAACAGAATCATTGATCACTGTCAAGTACTCAATGTCATTCAAAGATGTCGATAACTTAGGCATCATTGAGTGGAGATCGAAGTTTAAGAAGACAGAAGTTCAATATATTGGTACAACAATGTTCATTGATGCATTACACAACGAAGTATTCCCAATTGCAATACTTTTTGTCGATGCTTTTGCATTATTGATTACGATTTCAAGGTTTATGACCTTTATTAAATTTGCCCAAAAATATTCCAAAGAAAATTACGTCAGTTTCGCAAAATCCTTTTTATGGAATGTTAACGGATGGGAATTTTTCAACCTCTTTTACCAATCTTTGACTCTTGTCACTATTATTATCTATATTTTGATTGTTGATCCTAATTTTGGTGGAGAAAGATGGCTGCTCTTCCTTCTTGGATGTTCTGCTTTCATTCATTCACTTGGTTTGTTCAGATATCTTAAGATGAAACCAGAATTGTGGATGGTCGCAAGAATCACAGGTAGATCATTAAGCAAATCATGCATATTTGCTGCTGGTTTTATTCCAACATATATTGGTTTCGTATTCATGGGAATCTCCTTCTTTGGATACTTCTGTAACGTATTTAAAGGATTCTTGAGAACAATTAAGGTTTTGTTCTCAATTTTCCACTCCGACATTGTCATGGATACTGAGGAATTGGTCAAAGAAGCAGCTGTTTGTCCAGATTGGCTTATTTATACTTATATCTTCGCATGGACTAATTTAACAAACGGAATTATCATTAACTCAACAATTTCATTTGTTGAATGTACAATTGATTTCCTCATTGGTGCCAAATGGAAGAAATATGGTCGTCCAAACGTTACTTAACAAATTTACTATAGAAAATCAATTGTTCTGCGATAAAATGATTATTGTTGTTTATTAGAGCCTTAATAGAGATTATTGAATAAAATTGTTGCTATCTATTCGTTATAAAAATATTTTTTTTCTAAAATTGCACTGAAACTATTCATCCGTACAGTTGTGCATATGGAAGATATGTGGGGTAGTTCTGATTTGAAGGAATTATATATTTAATAAATTCATTAAATATCAAGTTAATTTCAAGCATCAGAAATGCCGGACCATGTAGCAAATCATTAATTACTGAATTTAAATGATTGATGCTTATCATTCCTTTCATTCAAGCAAAATTTATTTCTAATCTTGATGATTTGTTTGGTTTTGGTCTTCTTCTCAACTACTTCAAATAAAATAATTCTGAATGAGCAGTCAGACCATCAAAAAATTCAAATCGAAATGTAAAATAAACGGAAAATTTCAATATGTGCACGTTTAAAAAATAATGCTTGGGCGAAGTTCTGACGTATTTGCTGGAAATTTTATGGGAAAATCCAAGCTAGAGAAGATACATAAGGAAGCAAAAGAAATTATAGCTCAGAAAAACAAAGAAATCATGAAATATTCGAAATTAATAGAAGATGCAGAAAATCAATTATCCGAATTGAAAGCAGAATTACAAGAGAAAACAAACAGAATCAATAATATGAAAAATGAAGATATAAGTTACAACGTAAATTCAATCGAAGATGAAATAACTGCATTAAGCACTCAGCATATTGAAGAAATGAAAGCACTCGAAGAAAAGCATCAAGAAGATATGCAAACATATAAAATGAAATACGCAAAATCACTTAAAGAAGCAGAACAATGGACCGAGCAGCATATAGATACATTAGCTGTTGAGAAGCAGGCCAAATTACAGATGGCACAGCAAGAACTGAAGACAGCTAAAGAAAAAGCACAAGCTTCTAAACTTGCTGCAACCGCAGTCAAATCTAATTTCTATCAGAACAATAAAACAGCCCAATTAATGAATACCCAACGTATTGAATATCTTGAATCTCAGTTATCAGAAATCACATCACTATCTAGAGAAGAAATCAGAGATATCCGCGGAAAAGTCGAAGAATGCCTTGCAACAATAACTGTTCGTCAAAAAGAATACGAAGCACAGATTGCAAAGTGTAAGAAGGAATTAAAAGAAAGAGAACCCAAATATAATGATCATATAGAAGCTTTAACAAACCAATATAATACAGAAAAAGCAAGATACCAGAATCAAATAAACGCAGTGAATGAAAACATCCAAAACTTAACACGCGTAATTAAACAAATGGAAACGCATCATGAACAACAACTAAGATCAACAATGAAAGATCTAGAAAGAATGAAAACAACTATATATGCTTCTAGATCAATGAGAACAACTTCTCGTGATGAAACAATAACTAATGCTAGAGAAACAATGTCAATCCAAAATCAATGTATGCAAATGAAACAAGAAATTGCTGTCATCAAAGAAGAAATAGATGAACTCAATGCCGAAAACGATGAACTCAGATCTCAATTGCAAGTCCTTGATCGAAGTGTCTATGGTGGATACTAATTTCTATCTTGTATTTTTTAAAAATATTTGTTATTTTCTTATATTTATATACTTTAATCCTTATCTTCATATAAATTCACTATCAAATTCATAATTGCGAATATTGGGTTAGGATATGTATCAAAAGTAATCATATGTTCACTTTGAAATTAATCAAAGTCCGGGATAATATATAAATAAGAATCAAACAAAGGTAAGCCGAACAAACCCATAACTCAATGTATCGTAAAAACTCTCTTTTTATATAGTTCTGTAAAGTAATTGAATAATTGTCGATAATTTCCTGAAAAATTCCAAAAACTTTCCCTGTGTTATGATTGAGTGTTTTTAAAGAAGTCTTTTAAATTCTTAAGGACAGAAACAAAGAAAAAATAAATAATTTAAAATTATTTTTCTTTAAAAATGATGATATTGATGTAACAAATAAAATTCTATATTTATTAATCTAATGTAGGTATTTCATCGGAAACATCTGAGTCTGGATTCTCATCAGGTTCGTCAAATTGGAAGTGATGTTTCTTTTCTTTATTTTGAACGCGCTGAAGCCGAGCCTGTCTTCTTTTCTCTTGTTTTACGCGTCTTTGGTTTGTAGCAAATGAACTTGTAACAGCAAATTCGACAATTAATCTAACTCCTGGGAAATATTCTGGATTATTATTAACCTGGCGCAATGCACACAATGTGTGCTCATGTTGGGAGAATTCTACGAAGAAAAGACCCTTCTGGTCTTCGATCTTACGTACTTCTGTAATTCTAACTGGAGATTTCATTGCTTTTCTACACATTGGGTCATCTTTGTGATTTCTGGAGTAGCGCTGTGAGGCAACAGCGAAGATCTTGCGTACACGACCAGCATTGATGCCATCTGGAACGTTCATTACGCATAATCTTGTAGGAACAATGGAATAGTTTGTATCTGCGAGTTTCTTTTGCTTTGTTTCGAAGAGACGCTTTCTCTTAGCCATATCAGCGTCGGAAACGCCTTCAGCTGCTGCGTCTCCTGGTTTAATATGTCCTTCCCACATTAAGTGAAGATTACGCTTGTCTTTCTTTTCCATACGGTCGAGAATTTCTTGGCGCTCTTTAAATGGTAAAATAAGAATTGGTTCGTCGCAAATTCTGACAATTTTATCACTAAGCATTTGTTCTGAAACGAGTTTACCATGATGATCTGAATTACCGTATTCAAGTACTTTGGCAGCATCTTCTTCAGTGTAATACTCGAGAAAAAGCAGATTGTGTTTGTTTATCTCCTTTTTCTGGATCTTCTTTCTTCTTAATTAATGTGATATGTTTGATCTTGGCTAATGGTTCAAGTGCTCTGATGATATCAATAAAAGATGCTTCTAGAGGATTTTAGTCGCAAATACTTCGAAAGACATTTTAAAGATTGTGTTGAAAATAATCGTATCCTAAATCTTTGTGAGAACACAATCTAAAATCTAAGCTTCTAAACAGTGAATTTTAGAAATGCATTAACTAAGATTATTAATTATTAATTCATATAGATTGTGCTAACATAATAGATTATATTTCAGGAGTAATTATGAAGTAAGATAAAAAAATGATTAGCACATTGATAATTTGTCATATGAATTTCATTTGATTATGGAAATTTTAATATAAATATAGATTTGGCTCGAAAATGTTTGAGATTAGTGTGTATTAGAGGAATCTAATGGCACAAATTGTAAAAAAATGTCACGTGAGTATAAAATAATGGAAAATTTATATATTTACAATATGAAAGAAACTTTATAAAAATATAATAATAAAAATCTATCTGCATGATTGCCAAATCAATTCTCTCCATTCGAAAATGTTCATAGCTTGGTGTACAATTGCAGGGTACCAGCTGGTGTTGATCTGTTTAATGTAACCAAGCTTTGAATGCGTATATTTTTCTTTACTCCATAAAATCGAAGCGAGTTCTTTATTTCTAAACAACTTGATTCCGTGTGCTTCAATCATTCCTTCTTCAATGAGGAATTCATAAAATGTTTGGTCTTCGCATATATTATCTCCATTTCTATAGAACAGTGCATTCTCCATATACGAAATCTTCCACATTGTTTCCAAATCCGCTAAAATAAGTCCATTACATTTTACTTCCCTATCCATCCAATGTGGAACATTGAAATTCGGAGCTCTTTCTCGCCAATTACTAAGCACGTAGTTGATCCTGTATGTGTGGTTTTCGCCACTGTAATGCAATGTGTTCTTCGTCGAAAACGCTGGGAATGGATCACTTTGGAAAACAGTGTCAAAACCGTCCATGTAAAGTATTCTGTCAAATTTATCTTTGACGAGTGGCAAAAAGTCTTGCATGAATGGGAATCTGATACCTCTTTTCACATTTAAGTTGGCCTCCTTGTCAACTTTAGTTGTAACGACTGTTACACCACATCTTTGTATTTCCCATGGAATTGAAGTAGTTTCATCTGTAATTAAAAGAATCTTTGCTTGACAACCAGCCGTTCTGATGGTTCTAATGGGAACAACTGCTCTGTGTGCTTCGAATGTCGCAAATATAATGATAAGATCACGCTTTGACGAGTGAGTTTCAACAGGAAGTGGATTATGACATAATGGACAGTCAGAAAAGTCATAATCGGCACTAATTAGACGTGCAGCTGATCTGGCTACCATTATATTGTTGGGTCTGATAGATGAATACGGTGTAACTAAAGGAATAAATGTATCAAAAATATTTGTTTGGATTTTTGTGTCTGTATTCATAAGAGAAATGATGAGAAATACGGAATAAGCAACAGTAAGTACAATGGAACATACATTTCTTAATAATGGATAAAATTTCGTATCATCAGATTTATCTGAACTTTGTGTAGCAAAAAATACATCGTAACTGAAAGATATAGTATAAAACAATAAGCTGATTACCAAACCAATTTCTGAATATGCTAATGGAATTACCAAACCGAGATAAAATGTTATCAATGTTACAACCTCTTTGACGCGGCTATAATTGAATGCTACGAAGCATATTACAGGCAAAACACCTAATATTGGGTAAATCATGTATAATGAATATACCAAAAGGAAAGTAATCGATTTTTCTAAATTTTCGAGGTGAAAATCTGAAATTCTTGTAATGTAAATTAATAAAATAAACAATTTGGAATTTTCGGGTTGTATAAAACATAAGAAAAAGAGTAAGCAATTCAAAAATAAAACTTTGAAACTGGAATAACTTATGATTGAACAGATGATAACGACAAACAATGTAATAATAGAAGCATTCTTTTGTAAGAGAGGTGGTAATGATGTGACTTTTATTGGATTTGATTCATTTTCTGTTTCATAACTAATATTTATTTTAACTTTGTCATTTGAAGAGAAACCTCCATTGATTTTAAACCAACAATTTACTAGTTTGCCTTTATTTCGATATAACGAATAATTATAATATTGTCTTTCACGAGGCATTTTTAGTTCTTCTTTAATCTGAGGACCATCGATTTGTTCACTAAAGAATAATCTCTGAGATTGATTATTTATATTCAATTCTATCGAGAAGATGTCTATATTTGGAAATTTGATGAAGTTAATTTGTTGCGCATGCAACGAAGTAATCGAGTTTTTGGTGTCTATAGGAAGATTAATATCAAACTCCATATTCTTTTTTAGGTATAGCAAACAAAGAAACATCCTATGAACCTTAAAAAAGAATTAAAAAAAACTCAAAAAAAAATTTTTTATGAACATTATCTCCACCCATAATGTACCTATATTCAGGACTTCAAAACAGTAAATTAAGCATAATTAGGAACTATTATACTACCTAATGCATATGAAGCTTATACGATCTCTTATATTTGATAATTTCCTATTAATTTCGGCGAAAAAAAAAAACTATTTTCAATGTAAACTATTCGAAAATTGATAGGTATTCCTTTTGACATTCTCTCAATTTATATGTAAGGATTCCTTACTATGAGGGAACAAGAACAGTTATGAAGTATTCTTTCAAGAGGTAGTAGCAATATGATCTGGTGTAAAAAGAGAAATGAATAGTGTAAGAAAAGATACAAATTTACTTTATATTAATAAAAATTTGTAATGTCATTTAAATTTAGTTAGAGCATTGAGGTAATTTTAGTTCTTTTGTCAAAGATACTGAACCATATTCTCTAATTTATGGAAGAAAGCTTTAATAATTTTATCGAAATTATTTTTTGTAGCTTGTGTGAGGATATATACCGTAGTTCAATAATATTTCATGAGTGTGTGTCGAAGATTATGAATTTATAAACTTTAGATAAGTTAAGCAAAATATAATTGGAAAATAATAGAAATATGTTATAATTGAGTATATACATAATGCTATTTTTGAAATTCCTTAATGGGGAAGAAAGTAAATGAGATATTTTAATGCTTAATAGGTATTTTGGAATCACAAAATTGCAAGTAAATGTTAATGATAAATTTTGAATGCAGTGTTCGTAACATCTGATGATTTTTGGGATATGTAATGGCCATTGGGCCTCTTATTCGATAGAATTATGAAAATCATTTTATGAGAGGGATATGAGCCTGGGAATGACAAAAACTACCCCACGAGAAGCTCCCCTTACGATATTGCCATTTGTTAAATTTCCAAAAAAAATTTAAAATATAGAAAATTAGTTGAATTCTAACATTTTTGAAATATAAAAATTGATTTTTGAATTTTTTTTGGAAATTTTGTTATTGAAATCAATCTTTTACGATAATTGAGTTAAAATATATAGAAACAAGATAATTACTATGATAATATTTTATATAAATATATTAATTCACTCATTAAATTATTAATCAAACATGTTAAATCATTCTGAAATATGAAATCCACATCATTTATTCTTGAAAGCATAAAATTTCGTCATTACTTTAAAATGATGACTTTTGCCCTTATATTGATCATCAAAATCGGAATAACAATTTCAACAAATTAAAAAGGTGTATTTCCCCAAAACAATCATAGGGTTCGATTCGGATCTAAAATTTTGAAGTATTGAAATGAAATCTTGTTTTGGTTGGCATATATTGGATAATAATTTTTTAAATCATAAAGCAAGTTGTCATCAGATAGTAATATTTTCTTTTTCTCTTTAAAATAGCTATAAACAAAACATTTATTCAACAAGACAATGAGTTTCCTTGAAGAATTTCAAGGATTTGTTTTTCATCTGATACCAAAGAAGCCAGTGTAATAAATACTGCTATGTTTAATGGACCTAAGGTCATGCAAAGCTAGTTTGGTTCCAAAAATCCGATTATATAATATTTTTGAAAAAAAATTATTAAAAAAACAGAAAATCATAGTATAAACTCTTATTCGAAAAACACAAAATCGGAAGCGATCGAGTATCCATGGAATCTTGTAAGTTTTGGACAACATGCTTCACATAAAGTTTCTTTGATACTTTTCTGATGATGTAGCAATGCATTTGCATCTAAAATAAGCTTATCAACATCCCATTTCTGGTTGTGAAGTATAGATTCTAAGACATTCGGGCAATCATCTTCAATTTTTGCCTGATGAACATGAGCAAGGGTAAATGCGTTTATCATGTATTCATAACTTTCTAATCTACCGAAGATTTGATCCCATATTCGTAGAGTTTCTTCAAAAGAGTGTTCATCTGCAAATAATAACATTTCGAAACGAACTCCAAAGAAGAGGATCGAAGCATTGAAATCTGTAAGTAATTTGTATTTCTGATAGTCATAATTCATTAAAACCTTATCAAGCCTGTCAAAATGTTCCATTAATTTTTGTTGATCATCAAGGAGTTTTGTCATTGGAAGCAAGCTTATTGTATTACAAACGAGATGATATGTAATTGCTTCGCCGAATTCGATTGGCAAAGAGCCTTTTTGGCAAAAACTTAAAGCCATTGCAAAAAAGCTGTATGCGTACCGATCGAAACCTTGAGTATATTGAAGTTCAGGGTGTTCTCGCTCTAAAATAGCAAATATTCTTGATATTATTTCTAAAACGTCTATTTCTTTCGAAATTTCAGCTCCAATTGTAGGAGCCATCTCATTAAACCAACCGAGAGTCCTTGGAAAATCAACACTCATGATAGATTCGCTCTTTGTCGAAACAATTCGTAAAGCATTTTTGTAATCATCTTTGAAATAATATTTGAGAGAACTATAGTACATATCAACTGCAATTAATAGGCTTTCTGACCATTTTGGTCTTAATGGTGATATGATCTTTAAACAAATTAAGTAAGAAATTAATCTATCAACCATATTTTTGCCGTGATTATCAGTTAATAGGAACTTTCTCGCATCGTCATATGAAAATATCATTCCTTCACCTAAACGAAAAGCATCTGTAAGGATCACTTCAGATGGAAGTTGAAAATTCATTTTTTTGAATACTTTTGACACTTTTACGATCTCATTTATATCTTTTCTTACAAAATCTGAATTACCTTACCTTGGTTGAGGCTATCTGCTAAGAAATTATTCGCTGATGGCTGTGATAAAGATGTTTTACACGATCTAAAATTGAAAATTTCAAACCAAAAAGTCATTAACTTCAAAATTATGATAATAAAATATCCTTGCGAAGCTCAGCTTACATCAAAAGTGTTGTTACATAATACTGTTACAATTCAACTCAAATGAAAGTGTTTGCTACAAAAAATTTCAATATTCTATACTAATTTTTTATTAGAAATGATCTCTTGATACGAAAGTGCACTTCTCACATTAATTTAAAAAAAGATTTTGATCAATTTTGAATGAAAATTAAATAAATAGTGAAATTTTTAATAATATAACTTATTTCTTGACGCAAATTCTAAGTTTTTCTTCGCGTCTCTGAGCATCTTCAATAGTCTTCTTCATTAAGTCCGCATCATCCATTGGCTTTTTATCAATCAAATAAGCTCGATCGAATCTGAATCTCGAATCTGCTGGAAGGAGGTATTCATCAGCGATATCCTGGTGTGGCCTCTTTGCTCTGTCATTGTTAATATCCCAAATGACTTGGCCATCCAACGTGAGCTGCTTGCAGTAGTCTCCACGATAGACTTTTGTAAAATCGGTCTTTTTCTCCTTCTTTCCGCGAATCTTTTTAATTCCGCCGTAAATGTATGAGTAAGCAAATTCCGAAATTCCGAGCTTCTTGTCCTTCTTTGGTGCTAGACGAATGACAGACTTGAGTCCTTTTTCGAGGTTCTTAACAACAATCTTGCCAACAACGCGAATAAATCTGTCGCCATGTTGAAGGCCATGTACGTAAGTATTGGGGAATTCCCATTGATATTTGTCTTCATCAGGGAACACGCATTCGAAAATTCCATTTTGCTTAACTTCAAAATGATTCATTGAAGAGTCAACGACGAAATTGCACTGACCATGAACCTTCCAGGAACCATTCTTGCCAAAAAGCTCAAAGTTAGAGATAGGTGGGTGATGAGAGACTTGTTCTCCATATAAAATAGCACCAGATCCATAATTGCAAACATATGTCTCGCCTAAAACTGGATTCCATGGCTTCTTTGTCTGATGATAGAGATGAAGTGATGATACAATACTGATGGTGATGAGTTTGAGGCGCTCTTCTGGATCAGTTGCAGCGGCAGCTTTGTCAAGGTATTCGCCTGCAAGGAATGAAAAGAAATCTGCCATACGTTCAAGGAAGGAGCGTGGCTCAGAGTAGGAACATGGAACACTCATGTTGGAATAATCACATTTAAGTATATTCTTGGTAAATTGTTTCATAAGCTTCTTGTTTTCTACTCTTTCAGCTTCGATTTCTTCTTTTGTAAGAGGAATGACACCATCAACACACCAATTATTCAAGGCAATGTTTCTTTCTTGGGCATAATCATCATTATTGTAGGAAATAAGGTGTTTTTCAACGCCAGTGTATGATGTACTGAAAATATTCTTATCATTGATGGTTCCTAGGGGCTTGGCTTCGGAATTAACTGGTGGCTCGGCACGACTAATTAAGGGTCCACTGTAAAAATTGAAAGTCTCTCAAAATTGAGAGGCGATTTGCAAATAATCGTTATCGTCTTTTTTCGAAAATCCACTTTTCCTAGTGTTCTGATTAATATTTTGTGAATGTAACAATGAAGTATATGTTTTAATAAGATGATAATATATTCTATCACTTCAAATCACATAAAAATTGCAAAATCAGCGAGTTTTATAAGAACATGAATTTTTCCGATTTTTTTTGCTTCTGGATGCGTGTTTTGAAAAATAGATATTTTCGATTTTTGATTTTATTATAAGTATGAATTTTATATTAGGAATTTTTTGACCTATTTCCAATCATTAATTCCTAAGTTTTTCTAGGAATTAAATTGAGAATAAATTAGGAAATTCGCTTTAATGCCATTACATACTAATATTGTGATGCATGTAGTTTATATTTAAAGAGGCTAATGTCGGAATATCGTGCATTTTATAAAAAATTCAAAGAATTGACAATTGGATAGCACAAATTTAATTCTCCAGACAAAGTATTATTGCTTATATATTCAAAACATTATCCTTAGTTTTGAAATGTTGGCAAAAAATTTTCGTGTTATTTTTTGTGTTTCAGCATAAATTATGTATTTACTTATGAAAGATAAGCATTTTATTCATTATCATAAAGATATACCATAACAAATTGATAACATTTAAAAAAAAGTGTATTTTAGTGGGTATTATTCTGGCCAATGCCCATTTTTAAACGATTTAATATTGACCATATCAATAGCCGACTCAATGTAAAAATTTAGATATTATTTTTTTCATTATTCAAACTTTGATAAATTTTAGTATAATAAATGATTTTGTTTCGTGTATGATACAGAAATGAAAAGCTTAATTAATATCATTTTGCATTTTTTCAAGAATGTTAGAGTACATCTACATTAAAAAATCGGATTCGAATTGCGATACTGCATCAAATTGTTGCACATCTGATAAGGATCTCAAAAGAGTAAAGTTAATTTTTTTGTGTTTTTTTAAGTTTTGGGTCTTAGTAAAACACCATCTTGAGCAATATTTTTGGGATGACGATAGGCCTTATTTGGCCTTACAGTGGACCCTTAAGCTTGCCATTGATATGAATCATGAAATTTGTAAAGCATTCAATTTAAGATGCTTGAGAGGATTTCACAATGATTTTTTCACTTTTTCATACGCTATCCAAATTCAACTTACCAATGTTGTCTAATTAACTATAGTAATATTAATTTCATGTTTTGTCAATTGATCGATGGCATCATGAAAAAATCAGTTTTTAATGAAATCATTTGTAATACAATCCTGGAACTATATCAAATCTTTATCTTTGGATCCAACTTTTTATTTGTATTCAAAAACTTTTTATTTTTCGAGCACATGATGTTTATTTAAGGGTGCACCCGCATGTACGTTTATTTGAGAGGAGGAGGATTACCCTCTCAATTTTGAGGATTCGTTAGTTTATTTTCTCGATGAATATGCAATAAAATTTGATTTTTACCTTATCAATATACTTCATATAATATACACATGTTCATGAAAAAACTTTTTTCCAAAATCCTCAGGAATTAAGGGATTTTTGAATTTTAAGAATTTTTTTCGAATTTTTTCGAAAAAAAATATTTTCAGAACAGCCTTAACGGCTAAGATTTAGGAACAATGTTAAGTATCAAAAAGAAAGGAGGTCTGATATAGACAACATATATCGTTGAAGGTTGAAAAATCTCTAATATTTGAGCCCAAAATTTCAAATTTTAATTTTTTGAAAAAAGAGGCCACCCGTATGTACGTTTATTTGAGAGGAGGAGGATTATATTTTTGAAAGGGTGAAACATTATGAATATGTTAATTATATAATAATATGTATTATTATAAAAAAGAAGAAATAAAGCACGTTAAAATTTTTCTTTCTTGATTTTTTACAAAATCTACTTAGAATTATGCAAAATATGACTAAATAATTATAAATTTCAAGTTAAATTTTAATTTTGATAAATAATTTAAATTTCAAAATATCAAGTTCAGTTCGACTATGTATGTAGTAATTCCTCAATAAAGTGCCAAAACCCTATTAAAATATATGAACATTTTCAACATTTTAATGTTTTTATTTAAAAATTTGATGGAATATGAGCTTCAAACAATTATTATGTAAATAAAAATAATTAAAGATATGTATTTATTCGTATTACAACCGTAGTAAGTCGATTCTTCCTTTCTTCTACTGAGTTTTGAATTTGATTTCGAATTGTAAAGAGATTCAAAGGGAAAATACTAGCGGATAAAAACTACCTCCATGAAAGGGTCATAATGGAGTCAAGTTGTATTTTTTGATATTTTTTGCTTTTCGAGCCTAAATAAGGTAGCCAAGATAATGCCTAAAAATAAGGTTCTAAATTCTGAAGTTTACATGATCCTCTCGTATGCACCCTTAAGAATACATTATGAAAAATAATTTTATCTAAAATGATTTTGGATTGTGGATGAGGAAATACGTTAGTAATACAAATTTTTGAGTGAATAAATTTTCAAAAATTTGCATTCATAATTGTTCCATTTTACGCTTGAGTACTTAAGAATCATATATTTTGAACGAGTTCAATTTAAACAGTATAGCTTATGCGTATTACTTTTATTATACACAATTTTTATTTTGAAGATCAAATTATCTGAATTTGAATGGTAGAATTTCATTAAAAATACGAAAATCGTCATAAATGATAATTTTTTACTTCAAATTTCCTGGCCACATGGTTTGGATTTATGATTTGCATTCTATATCAAATCAATCTTAAATTTTTCAGCGACATTAAGTTATATGAGCCTTTGAGTTATATTATTTAATAAGTTTTCTAACTATTTTCTTTTTTGTATTCTATCCATTTGAGAATTTGTTTTCTAATTTCAAGATAAATAGAAAAATTAGTCAAGAAAGAGGAGGTTGTTAGGTAAGACTTGCCATTGATTTCGTTCTACAGTGAATCATAATAAAAATGATAATCAGTGAAATAACACTATAAATAATGGCTTAAAACAAGAAGGTAATAATGTATAATCTATTAGCAATATTTTTTCATATATGTAAATTAATTATTTCTGCCCAGAAGTCCTTACCGTGCAAAGAATCTGATGTAAACTTCTGAAAATTTTCTCTTATGAATTGTAAATTCGTTACAAATTTGGCGAATAAAATTGCTAGCCTTAACTAAAAGAATGATCGCTTTGATTGCTAACCTTTAATTTACTAGAAGGCATGAATACAGCACATTATTCTTGTAATCGTAAAATATAAAATGAAAGTCAAAATTGAGATATTTACATAGCCTCAAGACTGACCTAATAGCTTTGAATTTTTTTCAATTCAAAAATGTATTGATGTCCTGACATTACTT